GGGATCGGGCCTTTTATACTAAACGGTGAACAACACCAGAAACGAGCGTTCGATTTGCTAAACGATATGCGTCACCCTTTAAGCAATATTCTTTGTCGAGGTAATTCCTTTCTTGTGTTAATTAAATGTAAACAAAAATGTCATTTTCATCAAAATTAATACAATACCATGTTTGTAAAAACCGATACAGCATGTGTTGCAACAAAAATAATGTTCAAATTAGATAAGGAATGAACAATTGAATATGATTAAGAATCGACATACATAAAATATATATAAATAAATTAAATCCCGAATTAAAATCATTTTAGTCAAAAGATTCTCCAGCTAGTAAGACGCATACAGATCTACCAGTAATGACGGAAGTTCGCGTATTTTTCTGCCTCATCGTAACATTTGCTGGGATTGGTAAGTCACGCATATTTCTAGGTAGAGTATTACCAATGCATAAAATATACTCTATTTAAAGTTAATCTACAGACTATTCAAGAATATCGGGTTAAATATAACATACACTCTAAAAACGCAACAAACAAGCTGTCAAAAACATTGTTTAACCGCAGAACCAGTGATTACTCTAACAATTTCATTCAGTTTACTATAATACAGCCAAGTGTCCTTTCTTTTCAACGATATGTCATATATTCATATGTTACCACGCACCACTGAATAATCGTTCCCTTTGCACAATGGGCCATTTGCTCTGGACCAAGTTTTAGACATTGCAACACTACATGTACGATAGAGAATCAGCAATGAGGTTGCTGCTCTCCGCCAGAACCCACAGATGATTAAAGAGCTATTCTTGACATTGAGAGACGAGTCAATCTGAGTGTAGAGAATGGTGGCCATGTGAAGGACCGTGGGAAATAATCTTTCATGAGTAATATTTTATAAGATGACAGAAAATGATTGTGTCTTAACTGACTTAACTGTTTATGCCACTTCTTTTTCCATATGTTTGTAACGTTAAATTTAAGTTAAGTATTTTTTCTTAGTAAATGTAAAACCTATGTTATGTAAGTCTTGTGACCGGAATTTAATTCTTAGCCCCAATTACATAATGGTTTACCCGATTGCACAATAAAAGGATCTAAAGGTCTTTTCACCTATGCACGAAAAAACGATGTTAAGTCAGTGATCCATTACCATATATGGACATTGGAAAGCAAGGACACATGTCTTCATGGTTCACTAAATGAATTTGATTGATGTTTTCATCACTGGCTTTGTGCTTCTTCAGTGTTTTGCGTGCTGTGTTTTCTGAGACGCAGTGTATATTAGATGCTTTAATACAACCGGCCCTTTTATAAACGTTAGTTTTATAACATGGGAATGTAAGAAATCATTTTTTTATGGTGAACTAAACATACTTTGTATTCGTTTGAGCGAATTGAAGCGACTGAGAATATAAATGATTTTGTGTACTAGAACTACCCGAATACCATACTTGTCTCTGCTCGTTTAATCTACAATGTGATAACAAAACTATATAAAGTGTTTGTAAAATAATATAATACGACTTATTATTGTCATCAAGATAATTCATTGTAAGTTGGGTTATGAAAAACAGAGGGATGGTTGGCTTTGTAGTGAGCGAGTTTTTCAGAGTTTCATTTTTTCACTTTAGGTTTGGTGACTAAAGTCACACCTTAGTCACAACTTTTCAAATGAAAAAATGTTCATGTCATTGTTGTCAAGTTCCCCATTGATTTCTTTGTTACATAAATCCACATGCTATTTATATCCAAAGTCTCAAATATCTGTACAATCTACAATCGTTACTGTATCGTTACTTGCAACCTACATTATGCACACACGCTACCCTGCGCGCAGAGTCTAGTTATAAACTACAGACGAAGATGAAGCTCTCTTTTAAGAAGTGAAGTCGAACGAATGCAAAGGGTACACACACGCTGCATTCAATCAACGAAAGAAATAAAGGCATCGAGCGCTTGCCTCTAAATGATTTTATTTAGGTATTCTAGGTTTACTATAGGTGTATTCTAGGGATGCAATATGTATATTTTAGGGGTATTCATGATCGTGTATTTTGCTTATTTTTGTTTGGAGTCGACAACCAGCCTGTCGGGACAGCCATATTTATTACACTTACATTTTAACAGGGGTGCTGAGCTCTCCAACAGGCTGTCTTTACGAAGGTGTTAACTATGCATTGAATACTGATATCTCTAAAGGCGATTGTGAAGGTGTGAGATGCAACAGCCAGGGGGAAGTGGAAGTATGGCATACAATGTGTGAAAACTTCGTACGCCAATTCGACGACCCAATTGCTCCACCACCACCACCACCACCCCCACCAGCTCGATAATCTCACTGGTGCAGATAAGATGGAAATCCTGAGTGTTTACGTCATTACGAACTACTGGGTATTTACTGTACTTTGAAGACCTAACAAGAATCATAAACGAAATCGAACTTTAATTTCGATGTTTTGTTGACTCAGTTGTGAAGCTGTACATAACGTTTAAGAACATGTAACCGTCTTGATATGTTCTTCTTTCTTCCACAATCAAAAATGAGAAAAGATGAGGAAAATTTCTTAATCAGTGCATGATTTCGAGAAATAGAGTTATCAAAAATATAACCACTCATGGAAAATTAAAAAAACCCAACATCCTAACTAATGTTTTACCACGAAAGTAAATAGTGTTAACTTGTCCATAAAATTATGTAAATCGACAAAAAAATTATAATCGTTCAGAAAGTTTTTATGAATTTCTGACATTTGAGTATTTTGTCAATTGTATTATCCAACAGAAATCCAAATCGGATTCTATCCCTTTGTAGACATTAATTTCGTTCATGAACTACTGAAAGTTTTTATTCTTTTAAATTGTGCATTTATATTTTATATACATGATTCGATTCTCTCAAAGTATTTAACTAGTAATACCTGAGTAATCATGAATTCTCTCTTATCCCGTTCTCGGTTGACATCTTTATGGAGGTAGTAACATGATCCTCGTCATCACCGCGCAGACAGTGCTATATCGCTCCTATCATAAGTGACATCTATAAGTAAAATGATAAGAACATCCTAAAAATTCTTTTTGTTTCATCATATATCTGATGTATGTAGAAGTATGTTCATCAAGCTGAGTACGTATGTTTTTTTTATCCTCTGCCAAGCAGAGTTTTAGGGAGATAAGTTGGTAAGATATATCCCGTATCCTGATTTTGAGGTTTCCATATCTAGAACCTCCATATCTCCCGCCATATCTCCCGCTTCGGTGCATATCTTCCCGCTTCGGTGCATATCTTCCCGCTTCCGGTAAGTAGTGGAAATGCAATAAATGACTTTGCATATGAATGATTTGTTTATTTTTACACCTTGTACTATTGAAATTGCCATATGCCCCTGAAAACTCTACTTGGTATAGGAAAAAGCAGTTATGTACGGTCGGTTTGGATATTGGGTGATATTCGGTCCCTACGGTCCCTCAGGTAGATATGCATATCTCCCTCTGGATAAACCCCATATCCAAAACCTCACAGTACATAACCCTTATATATTATGAGGGACGTAACTAGGCACGGCGGGACACACAAGGCAACGGCTGGTCTCGTCAACATTTTGCAGAAATAAATTTACGTTGACATAAAATTGAAACCTTGAAAGGGAACTCTAATGATAGTGTTTATTTATTTTGTTTATTTATTTATTAAAATCAATTTTATTTTCGCCCAACCTATTCAAATTTGCCTTATCTATGTATTGATTTTGACTACACCCGATTATTATAGGCCAATGGATGGCATATTCATACAACCATGTACAAGTAAAAACCGAATTTATCACGTTAAAAATACCGTAATCGTTGTTTCACTAATATCACAAAACGTGTTTCTGTCGAACTGTAAAATATAAACCTAACATATTTTCCACATATCTATAGAAAAACCTTTATATTAGCTATTCGATCATTTTGATATTGTCAATTGTGATTTTTATCTGACAAAAGGCATTATATCTATAATACACACATCCATATTTCAAGGTGAACAATACATCAGTGGATATCGTATACATCATGATGATGTTGATATATTTCTTGATTGTATTTTTTAATTAATACCATGTCATACGGTATTGCAGATCAGTTATCTGATTGAATTATTTCTTGAAAATTAAATGTGTTTTCTATGTTTTCTCAGAAACTTAAAAGTAAAATCATATTGTAATATTTCTCGTTGATTTATTTTTCCAGCGAACAGGAGGTAATTTTGTAAATCTTGAATTTCGCACTATATCTATTTTGCCGTAGACTATATTTTCAAGGTGCAATGGACAATGACCAATAAATTGTTCGGATTTTTCGTAGATTCTGCAAATGTGTTAGTGATCAGGATCAGTCATTCAGACTTAAAAGTAAAATTGTAATGTAATATTTCTCGTTGATTTATTTTTCCCTCGATGTAATTTTGTAAATCTTGAATTTCGCACAATATCTATTTTGCCGTAGCCTATATTTTCAAGGTGCAATGGACAATGACCAATAAATTGTTAGGATTTTTCGTAGATTCTACAAATGTATTTCTCGTTGATTTATTTTTCCCTCGATGTAATTTTGTAAATCTTGGATTTCGCACGATATCTATTTTGCCGTAGACTATATTTTCAAGGTGTATATTTCCAATGGACAATGACCAATAAATTGTTAGGATGAGTCGTAGATTCTACAAATGTGTTAGTGATCATGATCAGGCATTCAGCCGGTATTATTATAAAATTATCATTTAATACATTGCAATTTGTGACACTATGGCCGACTCTTATTTGAGACTGCGAAATATTGAACGCCCTCTGAAAAACAGTCGTATATATTGTAGAAATGTGGGATTAGTACATCACCTTGAAAGACACAGTGTTATCATGAGAAATTCCACATGACACGACGCGGATCTGGATCTTAGTTTTATGCATTTAATTAATTATTTCACAAACAGCTCGGATAGCACATAAAGTAGTGTACTAGCTGCATTATCGGCCAGATATTAAGTTCAGCTAGGAGAGCGAAATGATGCTGCTAAGGATATTAATTTGCATCTTGGTCATCGGGGTGTTGGGAGAAAAGTTACCATGTAAACGTGGACCAAATGGCGAGAAGATGAGGGAGGTGAGACATATATTTTCTCAATAATTGTTTTTGGTTATATCTATTTATTTATTTAAGGACGAAGAACAGGATTCATGTCTGAATATAGTGAGACATTTCAAAATGGATTAATGCTTTAAATGACTATTTATGAACTAATACAGCCGGATCAAGCAACTTCCCCCAGTCAAGCTAAGACAATCGAAGATAACTAGATCCATTGGCTTAAAGATATAAGGCTCTTTGTAAATTACGATTGCGTTATTGTGTTTAAATGAAAAATAAGTGATAAGCAAAGATTTTTTCTCTAAATGACTAATTTAAGAATGTTTAAGAATTATATAATTCCTTGCCATTTTATATAATTCATTAGAAAGTTTTTGCAACTCCCGTATCTCCCTTATAACGTACAACTTATATGTGTGTGTATTAAAGTATAGGTCAACATCTATACGCATTAACATACGTTATTCTATAAGTGAGTTGCGAAAACTCTAATGTTCATAATGTTACTGATACTTTGCATGGTAGCTGGGAAATATGTCATCACTGTACGTGACTAGACTTATTGACAAAGATCTGTTAATATTGAAAATGAAAACAAATAATTCAAATTAAAATCAGAATGATTTTCGAACACAATAACCTTTTTAATATGTATATTTTATATCTGATACATCACCTCATTGTCCTTGATAGAAATATATTGATTTAATTGTATGTATTCTCATGTTGATACAGCTCAGACAAAAGCTACCCAAAGTCGAGTGCTACATACACGTATGCATACAAGTAAAGGTGAGTAATAATGATAAAAAAGTAAAAGAAGATATTATATAACGGGCGATGCTCATTCTGATTTATCAGACAAAACATGTTCAAATCCTACTTGTAATGTTTGAAAAGAGAAATGAAAAAAAAAATGTTCAGTCCAGTGCAATCTCCAAGTAAATCAGTGCACGTTGAGGAATTAATTATTGCCTGAGAATACACTTTCTTATTCCATCCTTTGTTCATAGAAAATTCCCTTTGCTTGTTTTTTTTTGTTTTTATATTGAACAGTTATGACCATATCCACTGTTCCACAGCTGGATGACTCTAATTGCGGTTAGCTCAATTCAAGATGGTTGCCGAGATTCTTTCGTTTTCGATAAATCCCTGATTTCAGGAAAACTAATAAGCTAAATCTTGTTCGCCATGCAAATTAATAAAACTGCGATTGTATGCAACCACAAATGAATGCTCAAACACCCGCAATATAAGAGAATATTAAAGAAAATGGCTTCACTTAGAATGACTCTAACTTAAGTTGATAATCTACGTCATCATTACGTTATCATCAACTTCAGTTAGAGTCATTCTAAGTGAAGCCATTTTCTTTAAAATTCTCCAATATCGCGGTTGTTTGAGCATTTATTTGTGGTTATTTACCATCGTAGCTTTATTAATTTGCATGACGAAACACTTGGAGTCCAGATTCAACTTAGTTTAGCTGAAATTGGAGGTTCATCGGAAACGAAAGAATTTCGGCAACCATCTTGAATGAAGCTAACTGCAATTAGAGTCGTCCAGCTGTGGAACAGTGATATCACTGTTAACAATATTCTTTTTTCTTACAGTTTTTCCATCAATTTGTCATATCAATGTTGACACTTGGATTATTTAGAAAGTAATATTCTGTTTGCTCTTAATGGTCACACTCATTAAGCATATTAGAACAAGAATGCACTCTTCTTTGTAACAGCTGTATATTATTTAAATAACCTAAGTGGGGTTTAAATAACAAGGAAAGTGCAGGCAATGCCTTCCCAATATACTCATTGTCCATGTTATTGATTTAAAAGGTTCTTTCCGTTGTTGGCGTGAAAGAAATTTTCGCAGTCGTTTCCCCCAAAGGATGTGTCTGGATATATGCCCTTTTGGTCCCTCAGTCAAATGTATGTGAAATATGGTTTTTATTAATGTCCTGGTTATATTTGATAAATATATTTACCTTTTCATGAGTTTTGATGCATAATTAACCCCCTGCTGAGAGTCAGAATAAGTATCTTAACAAATAAAAAAAGGGTCATTGTCATAGAAAAAACACCAATTGCAACATGTATGACATACAAAGAAGAAATAACTTAAGATCCATGAAGAATTAAAAAGAAAATCATATTTTTGAAATATATTTAAGGATTACAATTTTTTTCAAATTTATGAATTTCCCGCCAGTTTAATTTGAAGGGGGAAAAACAAGATGGCTGCCATTTGATGTAAGAAATATCAGAAAAAAAGTTGCTTCACTTTTAGTTTTCACATTGAGCACAGTTTTCCGGTTTAGGTTTTTTGACTGATTCTGACTCTTCATCACCAGGGTCATGTATAGAGATTATAAAATTGAAACTAAAATGTTGTGCTCAGCATGAATTTGACTGAAATATGTGTAACTTCACCAACACAATTGAAGTGTCAAAACTGGATGCTCAGTACCTTTGAGTGACTTTAATCCCTTGATTACCCAGATAAACACCAATTCACTTATCCAGAAATACCATTCAATGTCTATACAAAGAAAGTAAGCAATGTTTTGGAGGATATGTTTCACACTTTTTGTTTAAATAATTCATTTAATATTTGCCATTGATTTTTTTTCAATTCTGACAAAGTGATATGTACTGTCTTTGATCCCAATATTCGTCATCAATTGTGATACAAATTGATATTTTTGTAATCTCATAAGAAGGATAACATATTGAAGTTTAATAATATGTGGGATTGAATTGATTTTTCAGAAATTACAAATTTCAATATTTTCTAAGTCGATACCCAGACTCATTCCCAGACTCATCCTTTCTTATTTGTGGCCCAAAGTTTCAAAATTGAGGCAAATAATTGTTAAAATTTGAGACAATTTCTTTGGATTTATTTTTGAAGTTTGTAGTTCAGTCATACATTGAGACACGTCGTGAGTTGCGTAGGAATAACAACCTCACAGATAAACCTTGGATATATTCGTTGTTTATATTTAGATATCATTACTATTGTTGAGATTAATAGATAAGCGATACTGTGTATACAAATTGAGTTTTCCTGTTTATCATTTGAGTTCACATCTTTAACAGACTTGTTTAGACTTCGTGATGCTTCGATTCATCTCAATTGACGTACGAACTATGTCATGCAATAATTATGCATACTATGAAGTGTAAACAGACGTCTAATATTCTAGTACATTCTCACAAAATATCGGACTAATTACATTATATTATTATGGCACTTTTCAACAAAATACACAGCTACAACATTGTGATATATTGTTGTACATTTCAGCAAAATACTTGAAACTTCACTTGTAATATTACATTGCTGCGTAGTGATTTGGATAAAAAAAACTTCAATGTAATACTCGGATCCACACCTGTACTATCCCTTGAGGTACACAAGCTGTGGGAGAAAGACAGCACAAAATGTTTTTTAAGTCAATGAGCAAACAGTCCGTCCAAATAAACAAAGTTTCGACATTAGCATGATAATTTTGATATATAGGGAACAGTAAGTGAAGGAAAAATTGTAAATGGTAAAATAGTCATTACTGTTCAATATAAAAAACAAGAGCAAAGTGAGAGAATAGTAGGTGCATCCTTAGGCAATAATATATTTCTTCCCAATCACTGATTTACATGGAAAAGTGCTGGCTAGGAACTTGTTTTAGGAGGAAAGACTCTGGTAAATCAGAATGACGTTGTAGTATTTTGAAGTACATTTCAACAATGATATCTATATAACAAACTACATTGTAGTTTATTGGGATGCCTTTTTCCAAAACACCCCACTACATTACACTTAGACTACATTTTTACAAATTACCAAGCTATATTTGTGGTATGTCGAGGTTAATTTTAACAAAATACCTAAATACATTGAAGTAACAAATATCCAACAACATTGTAGCATATTGCAGTACCATGTATGATGTTAAAACAAAATGTCTAACTACATTGTAGTATGTTGCAGTACAATGTATAATGTTAAAACAAAATGTCTGACTACTTTGTAGTTTATTGCAGTACAATGTATAATGTCAAAACAAAATGTCTGACTACATTGTAGTTTATTGCAGTACAATGTATAATGTTAAAACAAAATGTCTGACTACATTGTAGTTTATTGCAGTACAATGTATAATGTTAAAACAAAATTCCTCACTACTACATACATTGTAGTATTTGGCAGTACAATGTATGATGTTAAAACAAAATTCCTCACTACTACATACATTGTAGTATTTGGCAGTACAATGTATGATGTTAAAACAAAATTTCTCACAACATTGTAGTATATTGCAGTACAATGTATGATGTTAAAACAAATTTTCCCACAACATTGTAGTATATTGCAGTACAATGTTTAAGTAAATAGAATATGTGTTTTTGTGAAATTCAAATTAAATCAATTTCTTCAACTAAAATTTAGCATTAACAAAAGACAATGGTTTGTATCACCTTAAGTTCGATCAAACTGAACTTTGACCTAAGCCATATGTAGTAATTTATCACCATTAGAAACACCTATCATTCTTGATGAGATGAAATAATATATCAGGCCCGTAGCCAGAGGGGGGGGGAGCTAGGGAGTGGAGCCACCCCCGACCCGCTAGAAATTCTCTCAAAATCATGCAGTTTTTCACAATTCTGTGAACTTTCCGCATGATTTTTGAGCCAAAAACTGTCAAAAAGCTCCCACTGGCAAAGGTTCACCCCCTGGTAAAAGCTGGCTATGGGCAAGTATATGTATGCATTATATTGGATTGATATTAGGAAAATGGTGAGAGGTATGATAGCACTGAGCCGCTTGATGAAGAAGACGAAGAGGACGAGGATGAAGACAACACAGATGCTGATATTGATAATAGTATTGTTGGAGAGGGGGAGCTAGAGAGTAATTGTAACGACGAAGATCAGGAAACCAAACGACGCAATAAAGGTGAATGATTTTAGTTATTCCGGGAAATAATTGAGAACTTGTTTTTTTTTGAGTGAAATTTTTTTAACTCTGCTCTTTCAATTAATACGTTTTTTGGTCTTTTTACCCATATGTCACTTAGACTTATCATGAAGTCTTTATACAGTTTGTTATAGTTAACACTTTCTATAAAAAACACTTCGTTCTTATCCTTCGAGCGTCTGTTTTTATTTTACGAGAGATAATGGAAATTTACCAACTGGAATGTATCCTATGCATCTATTTAAAATCATTGTCAACATAATATTTAACAATATTTATCTCTCGAAATGACACATTAAGTAGAAATCGATGTTATCTGAATCCACTTTCAACAGTAACCCAGTATAACATTTTTATTTTAATTACCACCCAATTAATAATCCAGCTGATCGAAAATCTACTCGGTTAGAACGACTTTTATGCCATGTGTCACGGTAGTATTCTCATGTTGTTGTGTGCATATAATATTAGGCATTCGAATTCATGTGTTTGAAGGCTGTAAGAGAATGAAGGCCGCATGATGATTTGATACTTCTTACAAATATTAACTAATATGCCTTGTTTATATTTACATTGATTGAGAGTCATAAACAGCTAGATTTATATCATATTTTGATAACTATACTTATTTTAACATTGATATAATTTCTAATTTGTATATTTGAAATAGACACCGTTAATTTTATCACTGTACATGTTTGATTCATATTTGCCATATTGTACCCATCACACTCCCCTTGGCTACGCCCATGCCTTAATACAAAGGTTTAGATTGTGACTAGTTGCAAAAACATAATTGTTATATCTGCAGTAATGAGCCTTATCAGACACCAGACCCAGCTGGTGATTTGGTGTAGAGATACATCTTCGTGATGATTGAATATTTTAGAAAAAAGTAAAGGTAACTGACATTTGAAAAACAGATTAACTCATAGAGTAAATCAACTCCACTTAAAACCCACTTACATGTAGGTAGTAATATAATAGAATGAAATGAATTTTACTGTTAATAATGCACAGTTGGAACAAAAGAAGATTGAGTATAGAGATAGTCCCTTGTGATGATTGGATATTTTAGGCTCCTGGCCATCATTTCCCAAATAGTGTCCATTCAGTGACAAAAATATTTCTCTTTATCCATAGGTCATATGTTCAAGTGAAATTAACCAGTTGTGCAGAGTAAGTGTAAACAGTAGTAAAAATTGTTGATGCTAGGCAAATGTAGGAGGAAACATTTCTTCCATAACACGCCTAACCATCGACAAAGTACGGTGACAAAATACACCGTAGTACACTATAGATGCACGGTGTTACTATTAACCGATTTGGAGCAAAGACAAATGATGTAGGTTTGATGTAGGCTTTAAAAAAATATCTGAGGACTTGTACATTATGGATTTCATGTTTGATTTCGTGTGTACTCTTTTAGGGAGACATCCAATATCTGGATTAGTCGATTTCCTCAAAAGCTGGTTAGTACAGCGGTTGTGACTGGTTAAGCATGCAAGAATCCTATGGCATGTTATGTAACATGTATTACAAGATAATTTTGTATTTCTATACAAGACTACACAACAAGTGCGTGCATGATGATTCCACGATGGTAAACCAGAAAAATATGCGGATAATCCATCATTTGCAACATGTAGGTGTCGATTGTCAGTCACGTCAGATATGATACACAGTTATTGATCCGACTAATTAAAACAAAGGAAAGCAAAAATGACATGACGTAAAATTAAGTGAATTTAATTGTAAATGTTTAACTGTAAGATAACTTTAAGAAACCTGTAAGACAAAACATGGATCTTCATATTAGACATCAATCTAACTCTAAGACATAAATTTGTTATTACTTGGGTAATGATCAATTATATTTTCACAAAATTCCATATTTACGTGAAATTACAATGAGCTTATCAAGGCTAATTCCAACGACTTCATGTTAGGGATAAAGTATGAGTATGGGTTACAGGAGAAATAATAGCCGAGCCCGCTAGGCGAATGGTTTATCTAACTTTGGTGTCTACTCTTCAACTTTTAAACGACTGAAAAGGGTGTAATTAGTTCAGTTTTGATATAAATACAATTAATTCTATTGTGTTGCTACCTAAGTGGGGTTTAATTCCAATGGAATTACTAAACACACCTTTTTTATTTGTTAATGCAATCTCATTTATTCGAGCTAGATCGGTTAATCCAAACAAAAACTAAGTTTTGTTATAATTAGTAAAGAAATTTCAACACTTAGTAGAACACTTAGTAGTGGGCTTAGTAGAATTAATGACGATTTCGATCTCGTTTGAAATATAGGTGTTAATAACGGGTAATATGTTTGAAATAAAGGATATATCAAATAGTATACAAATACTGGATTATCAGGAGCTGGATAAGTATGGGATGTTCAAATTATTCATTCATTCATTCTCCGTATTCCACAGATATCGCTTTTTCCACGCATTTGCAAAATATCATAAATATATATATGTGTTATTCTACAGATTTGACCTCAACTATGTGATAATTATAGGATATCCTATGATTTTGAGGAATATAATTTTTATCTACGAGGTGATATTGATATCTGCACGAGAGAGCGAAGCGAACGAGTGCATATATCAATATCACCGAGTAGATTAAAATGATATTCTGAAAAAATCATAGGATGTTCTTATTATCCTACACTAACAAGGAGTGTACCAAATGTATAATATCATTGCAAAATGAATTCCATGCCAAATAGAGTCAATTTGGCGGGAAATCAACAAGCGGAGTATATCGTCACAATATCCTCCGCATATTGGGTTTTCCGGAGTATATCGTCACGATATCCTCCGCCCGGAGTATATCGTCACGATATCCTCCGGATATTCATTTTGCCAATAAATATCAAATTTATTTTTTAATGTTATTATACATTTAGTACACTAAGTGTAGGATAATTATAGGATATCCTATGATTTTGAGGAATATCATTTTTATCTTCGAGGTGATATTGATATCTGCAAGAGAGAGCGAAGCAAACGAGTGCAAATATCAATATCACCGACTACATTACAATGATATTCTAAAAAATTCATCAGATGGTCTCATTATCCTACACTTACTAGTAGTGTACTTAATGTTTAATATCATTGAAAAATAAATTTCATGTCAAATAGTTCGATTTGGCGGGAAATCAACCAGCGGAGTATATAGTCACGATATCCTCCGCATATTGGTTTCCGGAATATAGCGTAGCGATATCCTTCGGTTATTCATTTTGCCAATAGATATCTTATATATTTTTGATTTTATTATACATATAATACACAAGTGTAGGATAAGGCAGATTTTCCCATGGTTACAACGGTAAAGATCGAATTTCAGGTGAAGATATGTTTGATATGTGGATCAAAATATCATATTCTGGCAAAAAATACCCAAACCATCGAATATCACTTTTGTACTCATCGAATATCACTTTTTATTTTAATTTTTTGTTTTTATTTTCATAAGCTCTGAGAAAAAGACGAAAGAAATACAAAAACAAAATCCACGAGACAGCAGAAGATAAAGAAGAAGAGACTGACAAGGAAGGTATGTCGAAAACACTATGATTATCTCGATCTTTCTCATCAAATGAAACTGTAATGGATGTATTTGATTTTGTAAAAACTAATAAAATGCAAGAAAACATGTGTTATAAAGAGTATAAAAATTGTAGCCCTCAACTTTGGCCTAAACTGGTCAATAGCATCATTGATATGCTGTTGAGACAATGAATTTCACTTCTCAACAATTCTATCCTTAGCAATTGTTGAGAAGTGAAATTCATTGTCTTAACAGCATATAAATGATGATATTGACCAGTTAAGGCCAAAATTGATGGCTACAATTGATCACAATGGTCTGATGGTGGACATATTGAATGTGTGTTTATGTAAATAAAGTTGACAATAAAACTTGGTTTTTGCAAGTTTTGGAAAAACCGTTTTGAAACGAAAATGACGTCATTTATAATATTGACGCTGGTTGACAGACATTATAATAAATTTGAACTTATGATATACCAGTTTAGAGATGAGTAAAATCCCTATCCATTGGTATATAATATGACATGTTTTCATCAGGAAAATCAATATTTATTTTTGAAATACGAGTGTCCCATTTTTTGGACCACCCTGTACAATATATTTGTGTTTCTTTCTTTAAATCATAATGATAAGAAATGATATAAACACATGTAGATTCTTTCTCTTTCAGTGATAATCGAGGGAGATATCAGGAAACTTAGATATGAAGATGAACGGGTATGTCTTTATCAATGAGGATTTTTTCAGAATTTATTGATCGACCTGGTATATACTGTATTTTTCTATTTATTTGGAAACTACGCTTTTACAACAGCGGGACACAAAGTTGGTGCGTCCATGCGTTACATGCTGATAAAAATTGTAGTTGGTATGATTTAAGACATTGCATATATAGTTGACTAAAACCCTAATGTGTATAAAAAGACGTAGTAACATCTTTATAACCATGTGGGGACCAGTGAATTATACTGCACTGCGACACTAGACATGTTTTAAAATCATGATGTATCTCTTTTTTAGCGAAAGAAATATAGAAACGCAATAGGTTATGACGCAACATGGCCAAAAGGAATCGTGCCCTACAAAATCTCTAAAGAGTACAGTGAGTAGTGAGTACTCAATTCAATTGAAAATGATTTTCATGAATGGAAGAGAACCGATGCGATGTGGCCGAAGATGTTTATATTACGAAGATGGCCGAGGATGCTTGAAGAACCAATCAAATTCCTTGAAGGGTCAAGGTTAGACCTTCGGCTGTCTTCGGTTGCAGTACAAGCATGTTCGGCCACCTTCGGTTGAAGATGTTAATATCACGAAGATGGCCGAGGATGCTTGAAGAACCAATCAAATTCCTTGAAGGGTCAAGGTTAGATCTTCGGCTGTCTTCGATTGCAGTACAAGCATGTTCGGCCACCTTCGGTTGAAGATGTTAATATCATGATAATGGCCGAAGATGCTTCAACGTACCAATCAAATTCTCTCCTATGGTTAGATCGTCGGCCATCTTCGAATGCTGAGCAAAATCGTTCCCTTTTCATGAATGCTTATGTCCGAGAGCTGATGTGGTTGTTGATATATTTATGTTAATATTTTATTTATTTGCTATGAAATTAATCCAGACAAAATGGATTTGTTGGTTTTGTCTAAATCATTCGATGATAATTATCTGATAATTATTCTTAAAAGTTGTTACCAACTGCTAGTGCGATTTATATTTTGTACCTTTGCAAATGTTAACTAATCCATTTGTATATTTTATACAGCTAAAGAGGAAAAGAACTATATTATTGCGTGCTTGGACGATTTGACCATGCGATTGTCTTCTCCGCGAAAGAATAACGACAAAATGAAACCGTGTATCAGATTTAAGAAGTACAAGGAAAAGAGAGATAGAGATTATCTCGATATAAAACCCGGTGGGGGGTAAGTCAGGAAGTTTACGTACGACTTTACCATCACTATTACTATTTGATATATGAATGCTACCTGTCATCGAACATTCCACAAAGTTTGGTAACAATACAAGAAGTTTCATTTGATGTCATATAAAGCGTGTGAACGTTTCCCCGCAACGTTTGAATCTTGCATTTTTGTTCATCAATTATGATAATTCGGGAATCTATGACAAATTTGATGAAATTGCTTAAAATGCTTAACACAAACAGGTGATCTGAAGATTTCTGTGTTCGGGAAACATTTTGATCGTTGTGTTCAGAATGACGGCAGATCGTAATTGAGCGTAATGTCCTTTTGAAAGTAACATGAGATTCTTGTAATATTAATACTTATCAGTAATTTAAATAGGTACTGCATTTTTAGATTTTTTGTGTATTCGTTCTTCAGGCTTCTTCACACATGATTTTAGGTGTTCTGCGTTTGTGGGAAGGCTTGGTAAGAATCAGACAGTTACCCTCAAAGCCAAAGGTTGCCTGTATCAAATGGGTACAGTGCAACATGAGATTATTCACTCACTTGGATTTTACCACGAACACAGTCGTCCGGACAGAGAAGAATATATCAAAATTATATGGGAGAATATAAAAACAGGTACGATACGAAAGCACTAGTAATTTGTAACATCTAACATTGTCTCTTGTACAAAAAGGATATTATGTACCCAGAGGTTTGGGATATTGGCTTCAAATCGAGGAGTATATCGTTATCTTACCTAAAGGTGATCTAGATATTATATTAGGGATAAAACGTATACTAGTATACGAAACTGACTTGACAGAGACTCTTCATATCTGTCCGACAAATCATTCATGCGAGGGTTGATCCAAAAGTTCCGAACCGTTTGCTCTAAAATCTTAATATTTTATGAATATTGTTCATATTTGGCCACAACCACCCCTTATATAGTAGTTTCATTTTGTGTAAAAATAAACAATAAATCTGACCAGCAACGTAGGTGTCTGGGTACCATAGCACGATGACAACAGAGTAGGTGGGGCTGGAATAAATTAAACTTTATTCCGAATTTCAGCAATTGAAGAGCTATTTCAAATCATTTCAATCTGTGGAGTTTCACCCCCATAAAATCTCATACAATAGGTCATTATAGTTTATAAGTTCATTCGCCTTCAAAATAGTCACCACCATGTGCTGAACATTTCTTACAACGTTTCATCCAGTCATGAAATACATGGTGAAGTCCACCTTTAGCTATAGCATAAACGCTATAATAAATGCCTGGATAAGGTCAGCTTCATCATCGAATTGGATACCACATAGTGGCTTTTTGGCCTCAGGAAACATATGAAAGCCACATGGTGCCATATCAGGAGAATATGGTGGATGGTGCTGTAGTTGGGCCTGCAAGCACTAGTGTATTGCCTCTGTTGTAACATTGGCTCTGTGGGCTTGGGCATTATCATGGTGAAAGTAAAAATTCACAAGGAATTCTGGTCATTTTTTCTCATAGCATCTTTAAAGATCTAATAGCAAAGGTTTTGCAAAAATAAATCAATGCAGTGTAAAACAAATGTATGTATAATGAAGAAATAAATATTTAATGAAAAAAATAGATATGTGTTTGTAATATTGGTATTAACTTAAGATTAAAAAGTGTCACTATCTCTTTCATTTTTCAACAAATATAGGCTCACGTGACATATGACGCGGGGCAGTCAATTTTGATCTATCGTAGACCATATCAGTATCAAACTGCCGATATTTCAACCTCGTCTTGCGAGGCCATTTTTATTTGAAACATCTTGAATTTGGTGTCAAAATAAAGCTGGTCACGCCCACTTTCAGAGTTATCAATGAATCATTTACTACGACTACTATATTCATTTAGGAGGCGTGTAAAGTTAACCAATCAGAAAGACAATTGCTCCATATATGACAGTTCATTAACATATTCAGTGTTTACTATTGTTTTTCGCGTCATGACAACACGAGTAGTAACCAATCAAAATGCCGTATTTTATCACGTGAGTTCAGGGTGACATGCACGACATGTAAGTTTAGTCTGAGCTGATCGCGATGTTGAACAATTTCTTCTCGGAATTTGTCCAGAGAAATCAGCGATTCTAAATTAAGGTAGGATCTCCCATTTCTTCCTGTACAAGTTTTAACTTATCTCTATCGAATCCTAAAGTTTTGGATGAAGATATGAAGCATACGTTTAAGAACGAAGCGATTAATTTGACGATCTGATTTTGCAATTTGCAATGGCCAATTTACTGCAAGTCTGCGTGTATTTGACAAGAGAAAGCGCCAAGTCTTGTATCCGAATGCTTAATAAGTTCAAAAATTATCAAAGACCAATTACAAAGGAATTAAATGAACTCATTAAAGAAATAAATTCAAAATGGAAAGTACAATCAGAAAAACAAGAAAATTGCTGGCTGTGTCAGGAATATGTTAGAATTCGCAATCCAATGGGCCTGAAAAGAAAAGCAGTAACAGACAATGATATGCTTGATACTAGTACTAGTGGATCCAGCTTCAATTTTGATGAAACTAATCTAGACCTCTCAAGCAGATTCATGTGCAGTACTCCCAAAAAGCGATGCACAATGACGACAACATCAGTTTCGGCACAAGTGACTCCCAGTCGTGGTAGAGAGACTACAATCAAAGATATAATTGATTCAAAAACAATCAAGGACCCCTTATCTGTATGGGAAGAAAAACTATTAACTACATGTAGTCTAGTACGTCAGAAAATGAAGCATGGTCAAAATGACGGGGAGCTCATCTGCAAAACTGGAGGAAAGGTAAGAAAACAATATTACCACAAGCACGATTATTAACTTGTATGTCAAACTGTTATTCACAAATGAATGGATTATATCTTTGTAATGCAGTCCCTGAGTCAATAGAAATCATAAGATCATACATTAGATAAAGTCACATACATGGTGTTTAATGACCTTTTAATGTACACTTCAATTGATGATCATTAAGAGAGATCAAATGCCTATTAACAACTGTCTTTGTTATCTAAGAATTAATTGATTCATGAATAGGTCCTTATCACTTGTAATTATTACATTCCAGCCACTTGTGTTTATGAAAGTAGACAGGCCCCAGATTCTAAGCAATAATGCAAAATCACCATTGAAAAAGCAAAGATCAAGGAAAATGAAAAAATACAGGGAAAAATTGAGTGGTGGAATAAATGATTCAATGGTTTATCAGTTGTCAAATGAGTTTAAGGTGGAGTATAGAAAGAAGAGAAATCGTGGAATGATATCATCTCTTGCAAAATTAAAGCATAAGAAGATCTCCGCAAAACAAGCTCTTACAATGAAAGCAGCTGCAAGGTTAACTTGGGGACAAACAAAAGTTATTATGCGACACCTAAAAATTGCCAATGTCAAAATGGATAGCTACAACAATCAATGTGAAGAAAAGAAAAAACTACTCAGAAAAATAAACATAAGGGCAAAATTAAAATTGTTAGCGCAAAGGGATTTATCAGGACCATCAAGCAGAAAAGGTATAATTTACAAAAAATTGCCAATGGCATATATAACGAATCTGCCAGCACATATTACGGAACACATTAAAAAAATGGAACAATACAATTTGCTGATAAAAGATCATCCTGTTATACCTCAAAATGAGATTTGGATCAAAATTGGAGGTGATAAGGGAGGGGGTAGTACGAAAGTAAGCTTTCAAGTACTCAATACAAATCACCCAAATGCGACAACAAACACACTTGTTTTTGCTATGGTCCGTGCTAGCGACAGCCGAGAAAACCTGGAGGCATTATTGAACCGATATAAACCGGAATTTGAACACTTAAAAACCATGAAATATAATGACAAATTGATAAGGCTGTTTCTGTGTGGAGACTATGAATTCCTCACTAAAACAATGGGATTGTCTGGCCCTGCTGGCACATTCCCATGTCTATGGTGCAACATAAACCACTCAGAATTTGGTATTCCTAGAAAGGATCGAAAGAATATCTCAGAGAGAAATCTCCAGGAAATGAAAGGATTATACAACGAATTTTTGATTGATGGAGATGGAAAAAAAGCAAATGCTAAGAACTATAAAAACGTTATACATTCCCCTCTATTTGATATAGAACTCTCCCATATTTGCCCCCCTTACCTACATATTTTACTTGGACTTGTCCTCAAACACCATAATACATAATATCTGCATGTAACAAAATGGATATTATTATTGCAAAGCGCATCGCAAAGGAAGATATGGACGCGGAAAGTGGAAGTGATACAGTCTATGGAATTTACATAAAAGGATGGAAAAAACTATATGGACTAAAAAGGAAATGGGAAAAAACTTCAAATACTTCACAAAAGCAGAAACTTCATGATCAAATGTGGGAAATAAAGGAAAAATTAGAACTTAAACTGGAATCTGGGCCAGTTGCTGCCTCGTTGGATGGCATACTCAAAAAACATAGTATTCACAGAGCGGCGTATCACGGAAAAAGCCTGGTCGGCAACCATTGCCACAAATATCTTAAAAGAGAAGTGTATGAGGATTTGGGAGATGAGGTTGTTCGAGTTTCTTCTCAAATGTGCCAATCTTTAGGAATTAAAACAAGAATACTGAAACAAGCAACTGAGGCCAAGAATAAGTTCATAAAAATAAACGATGCCTTTGCCCAGGTGCATGTTTTGATCAGCCATTGCAAGAAAATAGAAAATGACGAAATACCTTTTATCCAAAAATCCATAGACAACTATCTAACAACATTTAGAACACTTTACCCAGACATGAACATCCCACCCAAGGCACATATCTTGGAAGACCATATAGTACCCTGGATAGCTCGTTTTAATTGTGGCATGGGCCTGCAAGGAGAACAGGGTATCGAATCAATTCACAAGATTTTTAATGAACTAGATCAAAGAATGGGCTCGGTAAAAAATCCAGTCAACAGGATTACATCAACTCTCACGGAATATTATTTGGCATGTCAGCCTGAAATAATCAGCGCCAATCCCATCGTTAAGAGAGAGAAACGTAATGTCGTCAAGAAGCTGTAATATGTAAGTTAAGACTTTTTTTCCATTCATCAAAGACATGTAACATGTCTTTGCTAGCATTCAAACAGCATACATTTACACACATCACATTATCTAAAAAGCAGAAGATAACACCATAAAATTAATACAATTAATTTAAAAAGTCTACAAACGTGCATGATTTTAAACAAAATGACTAATAATTAACCGACTAACAATATATAACACTATTACTATGAAAAATTCAAGAAATTACTGTGAAATGTATAGTGGCCATTAAAAGGGGATAAGTAAATTGACTGTTGTAACTTAATACCTAATGCATACATGGCTATCAGGCACACATTGCCTATTAGAGTTAAATGTTAATGGGATCTCCACTAGCACCACTAGTGGATATCTATATCACTACAACTAAATCTACAGTTCTGGCTCCCAATTAAGGTAGGATCTCCCATTTCTTCCTGTACAAGTTTTAACTTATCTCTATCGAATCCTAAAGTTTTGGATGAAGATATGAAGCATACGTTTAAGAACGAAGCGATTAATTTGACGATCTGATTTTGCAATTTGCAATGGCCAATTTACTGCAAGTCTGCGTGTATTTGACAAGAGATAGCGCCAAGTCTTGTATCCGAATGCTTGTTAAGCCACTCAAAAACAAGATCCATATTTTCTAAATTTGATAACTTTGCAGAGAGCCCGTTTTCATAACCTGTTTTCCGCGTCTAAATTCAAACTGAGTAGGATTATAGGATCGCTGGGATTCTCAGTCAATGGCAACGGGTCTTCATTCCAGAACGCACATTTTTTTAGTTGATTCTCCGTCATAGTACTTGTCTAAAGTCCATATCTGCTCTTTTACTGGCATACATGTACCTGGACATATTTCCCCTCCTTAAATTGTCCTCCTTAAATAACTTCCTCTCGCCGATTTATATATAGCCATTTCCCAGAACCCGGGAGTCAGAATCGCTGATGTTTGCCATATTGAACATGTTGAAATATGTACTGTAATATCTGTAATACTAGGCATTGCCTGCTACGCGTAAGGGTCACGTGACTAGCGCGATACAGGAAAAATGGGGAATTTCGAAACAACAATTTTTGGGCACTTTTATTGCAAATTTCAGGTATTTATAAGTGTTTGTGGTATAAAATATAATCCACAGACATAAATGAACATCCAAACTACATATTTTATTACGTTTTGGAGCCTTTTTTGCTTTTAAAATGACATCTTTAAGATCTTTCTTCAGCACCCAGAACACATTTTTAAACTGAGTGTCATACCTAATTGATTGACTCAAAATAGATCAACATACCTCATAAAAGTAATCTAGTTTACAACTTCATAAATGAGTGATACGGTTTTGTAAATGACCTTTAAATAATAAGCTCCATTGACGGGGACTCCAGTTGCCACAGATTGAATCAGGATAACTGTGTCGTACTCTTGCTCCACCTACCCTGTTGTCATGTTGCTATGGTAACCAGACACTTAGTTGCTGGTCAGATTTATTGTTTATTTTTACGCAAAATGAAACTACTATATATGGGGTGGTTGTGGCCAAATATGAACAGTGTTCATAAAATATTAAGATTTTTAGAGCAAACGGTTTGGAACTTTTGGATCAACCCTCGTATTTTAGTTGCTTTTTACTAATTTCTGTAAATTCATTTATGAAAATATGAGAGCACGTTTAAATCGGGGAAATCGATGGTAAATTGAAATATATCCCATCTATGAGTAACTGTGTTTTTCTAACATCTCAATGGAAACAACAGTGGATGATTTTAATGTTAATTTTGAATTTGGCTTTACCATTGTAACCATACATTTATCTTGTTTTAGGTTTTAGTAGCAATTTTGATGTAAAACGCAGTGCTAGAAAACTTGTTCGCTATGATTATGAAAGTGTTATGCATTACAAACAGAATGCATTTAGTAAGGATCCTAGGTAACCACAATAACTTTTTTTATATATTTATTTATCAATTATCATCATTAGTTACATTTACAAAATTATCTTCAATCGCCAAATGCATGCATGGCATTATACAAGACATTGATGCGATTTTGAATATAATATAAGGAGCAATGTTGGGGTTATTAACTACAATAACAACATATACGAAGTAACGATTAACTACCAAACACTTTTATAAGAATTTAGTTTTGGACTAGTTTCTTGTATCACTTTATGTAACGTTCAAAGAATTTAGTTTAGTGCGAGTATCGTATCACTTTCTGTAACATTCAAAGAATTTAGTTTAGTACGAGTATCGTATCACTTTCTGTAGCATTCAAATAATTTAGTTTAGTACGAGTATCGTTTCACTTTCTGTAACGTTCAAAGAATTTAGTTTAGTGCGAGCATCGTATCACTTTCTGTAACGTTCAAAGAATTTAGTTTAGTGCGAGTATCGTATCACTTTCTGTAGCATTCAAATAATTTAGTTTAGTACGAGTATCGTATCACTTTCTGTAACATTCAAAGAATTTACTTTAGTACGACTATAATGTAACATTTTCTGTTCCATTTCAGGAATTAAGTTTTGGACAAGTGTTTTGTTTCACATTTGAAATGGGAATTTGAAATAGTTTGTATTTGTCAAATGAAAGACAACATTCATAATTCAAACATACAATAGCGTTTCAAACATATTTCTCAGATAAATTTTATCAACAGTAACACAGTATAATTAATGAGATGAGAACAATCTAGTATCAAAGTACTGAATGAATTTAACATTTTGCCACATATCCTTTCATTATGTATTCCCTAAAGTCTGCCAGCTTGCTAACCTTGTATCCGGTAGCCGACAGGCTTTAGTTGCATTCGCGAATACAAGCTTAGTAATTCAACAACTGAATTATGACTTCATTAACTTTGTAGATACCTACGTACAATACAACCAATACAGCCCAAAAAGGATGTAGGCCAAAGGAATGGAATATCAAAGTTAGATACAGCGGAAATACAGATCCTTTATGATTGCCCCGTTACGGTAGACATAGGTATGTTAATCATTGAGATGGTTTATAAAATAGAAATTATTATCTTTCTTAAAAATGATTCATAAAAAGATAGATATGACTCGTATGTTCATAAGAAAGTAATTACGTTAGCACTGATAGGCTGTTCCGAGTAAACAAAATATATAATCAAAAAGAGAAATCGTAGTTTCAATGCTAATATCCAAATAAATGATCCAAGATGAATACTTTTTTTTGTTGGACATACAGGGGACCCCGATATAGGAAATACAACGACACATGCACCGCCAGAGGAGCCAGCAAGTTAGTATAAAAGAACACCTATCGGGTTAAGGTTCTTTCATAGTTCAACTCAAACGGTGCATTTTAAGAACAATAGTGTTCGCTCAATACACCAATACTTTCTTATTAATCACAGTCTTTCTTTGATTATCCAAAGCTATTCCGAGGGATTGTAGAGAATTTTGAATCGTTCCCTAACATGGGTTTATTTCTAATGAATCACATGTATGATCTGTTAATTTAACAGAATGGTTACGAAAGTTTAAGAGTTCTTAATTTTTCAGCGTCGGACTGCAAATCAAATTCTGAAACCTTGTTAGTTTTGAAATGCCCGAAAAAGGCAAACAAAAAGTTCTAAAAAGCAAGCCAAATGTCCTGCATACTATTGAAATGGATTCTAGTACTACTATCCGGGCCTATCCTACATGAACATGCTTGTTGATTCGATCAACTTGAGTTTTTCTGAGAAAATGATGACTTCAGCAAAAGTACATCGACTTAACATTTGTTACGCGGTAAACGCGATACAAATTTATGTCATATTCCGCAACTTGCGGTGTGTGACAGATTCACATGCAGTATATAGCATACTCACTAACACCCCAGTCACATTTCCTACGGCGACCTTGCGGTCTATCATTTCTGCGGCCAGTAACATTTTTACGCTCGCCGTGGAATTTCTGCGCTCTCATACGTTTGCAGTTTTCCTACGCTCGCCGCAGAAATACACTGATTTAATTGATCTGCGGTCGGCCTCCGTACGACAAATGTGACTGGGGTGTAACTAATGAGAACTCGACCCATATTCCGCAAGTGAGTATGAGATATTCTGCAGGTGAGTATCGGGTATTCACTGAAATCAATGTATCGCATATTCACTGCGGAATATGCCATATACCGCGTGCACTCCAGTTGTCCGAAACCCAGTTGTCCGAAATGCAGTTGTCCGAAACCCATTACTCCGAAAAATATAGTCATTAATTTACCAGAGAAAGGGGAGACGTACTTAAGCTTAGGCCAGTTTCATGCCAGTATTTGGCCAAATTAATGGCATGGACGCATTCTGATGTTCATAGATCTCTCTCTCTCTCGCTTTGAATTGCATCCATTGCACGTGTTACCAGAATGGCAGGAACGGGTAATTTATTTTACATTGTGATTCTAAAAAAAGGTTATCAAAACACAATATATATTACGGAACAGTTTATCTTATCTTCTTCAATCTCTTTTACATGTAGGCAAAATAAAATGAATCATTTTGAAACAGATAAAATAAGTTTACGCATATAGTACTTTAAGAATAAAACAGTATACATATTACGTTGTCAAAATATTTCGTCGCATTTATTTCTTAGTCTCTGTATTTTATCAAATCGTAAAAGAACAAAATATTCTTAACTTAATCACTTGGGATCAACTGGAAACGAAGGCAGGCTGTCCTCGTATCAAAATGGATGTTCTCCCATTCGCAAGAAGTTTCATTTTCGCCATGTATTCACTTCATCCTTTTAATTTAATCTCTATTTCTCGAACAGAGTACTTACAAGTGAAGAATAAGTTTTGGTTTCAAAAGATGTACATGTTAATTTAACTAAATAAATGCCCACTGGCTTGGGAAAGCTATTTTTCCTTTTATGAACGCCCATCACCCATTGGAAAATGTTGTTCCCTCTCAAAAAGGCCCATGGGCCATAAAGAAAATTGGTTTAAAAATTGTAGACCCCTATGTATGTTGTGTAAACGCCATTTTACAATGAGAATAACATAATTTGTTTGTTTGAACATCTATATCACCTGTATATGAACTTTCGTAGCTAAACATTAAGCAATTAACGTCTTGACTTAGCATATTTAGCCTAATTTTGCAATGATGTCAACGTTATTCCAATGTTATGTTGTGATTCGCAGAGGTTGCGACAACGAGATTCGCTTAAAAAAATTGTATTTTTCAAATAAGATCCCCCTAATTTTCGGAGAACTGGGTTTCGGACAACTGGGTTTCGGAAAACTGGGTTTCGGAGAACTGGGTTTCGGACAACTGGGTTGACCCCGAGTATGGCATATTCACCCGTATCACAAATACTGCGCAACCATGAATATATGTCATATTCCGCTTAATACCATTGACTGATGACTCAGCATCGGGATGTCATCATGTTTGTCACCGAGGGGATAGATACAAAATCTTCATTATCTCGAAAGAACTCAGAAGTCTATCGAGTCGCAACAAGTATATTCATGTGGGGCAGCATTAATGGAATATATTCCAATAGTAGGAATATTGGTTCTTAAACGGGACATTAAAGCTTAACTCAGACATTTTGGCATTTTTCGATGTTTCGTAATTTCAAACGCTGGTAATTTCAGAGATAAAGTCGCTACATTGTACAGTTGATTATGGTAGGACAAAACAAGCATGTGGAATAAGGGAATTATCAGAACCAAAATTATTGAAGAATGAGTCAGCAGGAAATGGACATTACCCAAAATTTGAACGAACTACCTGGAATTGGCTGAGCGGTGAGTGGCATGACTCTTCAGTGGTACTGATGGTATATCTACTTTTAGAAAAGAATTATGAATTATGACAGAATCGTTGTGAATATTATTATATAGATAGTCTGATTAATGCGTGAAACTGTGACACTATCAAGGGTAATCATGTTTTTCGACAACACGAACTCTCATGCCAAATCCGTTTCACAAATGCAAGTAAAATACATTAGCTATGTTAAAATTCATCAAATATTAACTGACACATTATTGAGACAAAGTAAGCCTAATATTGCTTGATTGAGATATCTGTTCATAAAAATTATATGTTGGCCCAGATAAATGGAAAGCGATGTTTCTTTATGTTGGAGCTTTGCGTATTTAGGACGGTGACGTAACAGCAATGGTGTATTTTGTATATCTAGGGTACTATTGGTATATTGATGGTGATACGGTCAGGGACAATGATACTGTACACTTGGAGTCTGAGGTTGTTCACCCGGGAGATTACTGCCTTCAGTTCAGCTACTGGAATTATGCATCTAAGACATCGTAAGTATTCATTCAATTTTGTAAGTATTGCGGATTACTAGTATACGACTATTTTTCTAAAGTCTATGTCACATTTGCTTTACGGCAGCCGCACCTTCAAAAACTCGATTTAGAAAATCTACATCGTACTGCGTATCTCTATATTTCATGCTTCATATTTCTCTCGATTTTGGGAAGCTACGGCCATCGTACGGCTGCTGTAGATCAAATGTAATAAAGGCTTAACTATGAGACATAAGACAAATTAATACCCCTCCCCAAATAAATATTTTTATGATCGCGTGATGATTTAGATTTGATATTTCCAGCATGAGAGTGTTCATTGAGTATAAAGAAATAAATGAAAAGTTCAGTAAACCCGATGAACAGTCGTGGATTACTCCAACTATACCATTTACTGCCAGGAACCGATTTATCGTAAGTGCCATTCTGATTTTATTTTTTCATTTGAGCAATTTTCCTTGACAGTGCCCTGGTTGGATTTTAATAGCCAAATGTTTACATAGTCAATAGTGCCGTTTTAAATAGTGCCGTTTTATTTGCAAGAAAGCATATGAATGAATCATTTATTAGATAAAACAGTCATCAATGTTTAGTTACTCTCTAACCAAGCTTGTATTCGTGAATGCAAATAGCGGCTACCGGCAATAAGGTTGATTGCAATTTGATGGCAAACTCATTTAAATATGAATAGTGCCTGCCATGCGTCCCGTTAGTTGCCAGCTCTCGCCTCAAAAGCTGACCTAAATAACGGTTTAATCTGGCTATTAAGCAGCAACTAACATCGACTATCGAGGTGTTCGGAATTTTATATTGCTGAAGTACACCTGCCACACGATAATCAGTGTTAGTTGCTGCTTTAATACTAGATTAAATCGCCATTTAGCTCCGCTACTGGGTTTGGGGCGAGAGCTGCAACTAACGGCACATACAGTGGGTATTCATATTTAAATGAGTTTGCAATCAAATTGCAGTCAACCCGCAAATAACTTCGCAAATTCGCAAATAACGGCTACCGGCCATTGCATAAATTAACCCATCAAAACAAGCAAAGTTATTACTTTATTTCGCGTTTACATACATATGGTCATCCTATTTTATCTAATTCTAATCTATTCATTATTTTTCAGCTTCAGTTTGTCATAACTGTTGACAAGACGGTTGTAAATAACAGGTTTGCATCAACGGCAGGTGACTTTGCTCTTGATGAAATCAAATTGGGAAGTGCAGTTAAAGGAAATTGTATATATTCAGATTGACTGTAACAGATCTAGAAAATATATCCGACTTATTAGAGAAAGATATTGTATTCCATCGTATTATGTTCTATGAGTTTCACATAAATAAAAAACATGTTTTTCTTATTTTTATAGTAATATCCATTGCACTGTTTTTTCCCAATGACTTCACTATAACTCAAAATAGGATATATAATCGTATGAATCTGTGATATCCTTAGACTAAGGGGAGATAGGTCCTACTGACTGGGTAAATGTTTGGTCGTCACTATGCATCATCAGGGATTTTTCGAGGGATTTGTTCCTTTACAAGGGTTGTTCTCAATGTTCTGGACATATATATCTGACCATGAGAATAACCAATCTTGTGCACATTTGGTAGGTAGGTGCCCCATCCTTTTCCCTTACAGTGTTGTGTTTTTATGATATACATCTACTATATACTCTTATGATGACGAATATGTTTCAAATTCATATAGAGGCCTACTTCCCCGGGGCTTTACTCTAATATACCTCTCAATACATGTACCTATGTGCCGCGCCAAAGACCCTTTTGAGCAATTTCCACTCAAGATTGAAAGTTTCCATGAACATGTATAGTTCCTCTCAGACTTTTAAAAGGTACTAAATTATTTTTCATTCTAGCCAGTTAGTTAGTCAGGAGGTGAAATCCACTCTACTCAGTCATGTAATCTTATAATTTTTCAGACTCATACACTTCAATTGGCGGTTTGGACGCAACATTTTACGTTTCTTTCTTCAACACTACCCCCGGGTCTACTTTTAGATGTTATTACTCATGCCACCACCAAGAAAAGTACATATTGTTAGTTGTTACACCCACTGGCCTAAGAATTTAAATAAATAAACAGTTGTTACAGTTTTGTCAACATATGCTGGTGGAGTAATGTTGTTGTGTCCATGCCTTGTTTACTGACACGGTGCAAATGGAGCGTGACTGATTCAAACTCAATTAAAAATGGCCACCACTTTTTTCATACTCAAATACTATTTGTTGGTTTGATTCAGAATTTACGAGGTGATAACTGGTAGTCATAAGAATCTGGTCAAGAAGGAGTTTTCAAGATGAACTAAAAATGCCAAATGGAGCCGCTATTTTCAGAAGAAAGTACCACTTCTGACGCAAATACTTTTAATCAGATTTCCTACAAATATAGGAAAATGTCACATGGGCACTGGACTTCTATTTGATAAGGTTAGTGGGGGTATTTTGTTAGTGTACGCCGCGAGTGAGCAAAGCGAATGAGCTTTTCCCCAAAGGAAATTTAAAAATGAGATTGCATTTGAAGCGTTCTTGGGCGTTTTAAAATACGAAATTCAGATTATATGGACTAATTAAATGACATCTAATATTCAGAATATCCAGTTTTTTAAAAGTGTGAGCAATATAAAATATCAACCTTTCTCTAAATTTTGAGAGTACGTGACACAAAAAGCACCACCCACTAATTTTGGAACAACTTTCTCAATGATTAAGAAATTATGATTCCTTTTGTGCAGATAGACTGATAGAGTATTCAATGGAAAAAGGTTTGTTGATCGGTATATTGCTCCTTTAATATAACTTAGTCTGATAAACGTATATGTACCATATCATTATATGTACTTTTCTTGGAGATAATGAATGGGTCTAAAATATAAACCCATTGTCACCATCAGAAACATTTAAAACATCAAATAAGAATCGTCTGAAATTCTTTGCGATAACGTACGTGCTCCTTTGATGAAATGACTCGCTTATTGGGTAGAGGATTGGTATCGATATGGTGAACTGAATCCAACAATGTTTTTCTCTTAATACAATCATTGAAAACATTCTGTAAAAACATTGTCCTTTATGTAATTTTGACTGATTGACAACAATTTAATTTAACTGCTTTTGTTAACATTTTTTGTTTTTTTTGTGCAATTGTTTTTGCCTTTTTACCAATTCTTGAGAATGAAATAAAATATCTTTCCGAATCTTGTTAGAACAAAATAGCATATACAACATTTTCTCAGACCTCTCAATATTATAGTAATACAAAGGATATTTTGGTTGAAGAAGATCCAAGAACATAAAAGTGTCTGATGTGTTTTCTAAAACAACATAGAGAAAAGTATATTTATTTATTTCAAATTATATTGTTACCATTCAAAAGATGACCATTAAATTGACATTTGGAAGATTTTCAGAATTTTTTGATGACTCGTTTAAGAGATACGTGTGCTCAAAAGGTTCACCATATCGATACCCATCCTTTTAAGAAAGACAAATTTTCTAATTTACAGTTTCGAGTGATTTTTTTGTGAGATCAGCATGGCTACACGGAAAATGAGATATCTCTAATTTTCTAGTTGTTAATGCTATGCAAGCATACCAATCTTTTGAACACTCTATCTACACATAAAAAATCATGAAAATTCCCTACTTTTTGAGAGAGTGTATATATGGAGTCACGGCATGTCATGGGTTTTGATTTTGCCGAAAGGAGACAATACTAATGCCTGGTTATTCCCGTACTATAGTATTAAAAATCACTCGTAACAAAATTAGTTAAAAATAGTAACATGATAGAATATATTTTGTACTGTGAGATTTGCTTCTCCAGAGAGTTTATACTTTTCTCTTTTATAATAATAACGAGTAACATAACATGCTGATTTATAATAAACAGTGAATTATTTATTTCGTGTGAAAATCAGCTTGGATATTTGCACTCTCCACGAACGATTGGTGCCAATCTGATTTCATCAAGAGCAAAGTCACCTGCCGCTGATGCAAACCTGTTATTTACAACTGTCTTGTCAATAGTTATGACAAATTGAAGCTGAAAAATAAATAAAACAAGTACGCGGTTGTATATAGTGATATGTTTAAATAAAATTGAGTAAATTGGGACGTACCGATTACAGACCAAAATCTTTATACATATCATTTAACTAAATTGGCACTTACGACAAAACGGTTTTTGGCAATAAATGGTATTGTTGGTGTTATCCAGGATTGCTCATCGGGCTTGCTGTACTTTTCTCCAATTTCATTATACTCAATGTAAACTCTCATGCTGAAATTCAATACCTCATCATGAACTATTGCAAGAGTTATTATATTTTTTCCATTCTGATACTCATCACATCTTTCTGCCTTCAACTAGGAATATCTAAGAAGCTATCGGAAGGCCATGCTTTCTAATGATGGTATGTCTCCATTTTGATCATGTTTAATGGGTAAATATGGATACTATACATGCATTTACAAAATCTCTTAATTAGAAGAAGCCTATTGGATGCATGAAAATGTAACAAAACGTTATACTATGATTTAGATGCATAATTCCAGTAGCTAAATTGAAGACAATATTCCCCCGGGTGGATCACTTCAGACTCCAGCTGCGCAGTGTCATTATCCTTGAGCATATCACCATCCATATACCAATAATATCCTAGATACAAATAATAACAAGGCATAAACATGCAAAATGTCACCACCTGCCATTAGTTACTGACGCCAAACGTCAACCGCCGAGTGTCGAAACCGTCCAAAAGTTGGAGAAAATAACAATCTGTCACAACATGTGAGGGTGATACAAAATCAATCTGCCAAGAATGCTATATTATGATAATGTCTCATAAAAACACTGGACGTCAAATTAAAAATAAACAGTACCTATATGACATACTTGAAGCAAAACGGTCAAAGGAAACACTCACCACCTAGCCAGTTCCACGTAGTTCGTTCAAATTTGGGATAATGTCCACTACTACACGACTCATTTTTCAACAATTTCGGTTCTGATATTTCTCGTATACTACATGGAACCTTTGATTCAGATGCATCAACTGTACAATGCAAAGCCTTTAATTCTGAAACCGACAGAATAATAAGGATACAAACTGCAACAGACTTAATTAAGAAAGCGACTCCTCCTTAAGTCGATACGTTGATAATTTCCTTAAATCAAAATGCATTCAAAACAGGTTTCCAAACTAGATCCTGCTTCACGTCAAAGATATAATAGGGAGTTTAAGCGTGCATATAAAATCGAAACGCTAACCTATTCGTATGACCAATCTCCCATACAGCTGCATCGCTTAAATATTTTCCGTTCACGTTTAGGTTGTGAAAACATTACAAGCTTAAACTCCCTAATCGTTCAAAGTCTTTTCCTTAATCATTATGTAACACTAACCTTTATAAATCCCAATACAATACGTTCGATGTCTGTACTGAGCTTAAAAACACGATTTCCTAACGTGCATATAATTGTACAACTAAAATTGTTAAAGAGAACTAAAACAACAAATGAGCCAGGCCACAGGAAAAGGGGTCTTATCACAGATTTTTTCAATATTCTGATTTTTTGTTTATCTTAAAAAGCACAAAGAAACCTTTCAAATGAGCCATGGCTTATGTCCTAACAATTTTTCCTTGCATATATAGACCAAAAAGTCGGATCTGAATTTTGCACATTTTCCTCTTAATCGTGGGCACATTTTGGACTTTGTAGCACAATTTTAATTTTTGTGATAAGACCGGTTTTCCTATGGCCAGGCTCAAATTATAAGGTAAATCCAGTATGGTGTCACTCTTAGAGACCGTTACATTCTATAATATTTAATATGGGCCTTACTTGCTGGACCCTCGGGGGGCGCATGAGTTACAGCATTGGAACCATCCCTACCACTAAGAGAATCATCAACTAGATGGAAATGAAACCATGAATCGTGTTATCTATTATAGTAATCGCTAACGTGATTAAAATATTTTAGTATTCGTAGGGTATACAGCATTCCTTAAATATGGGTATACTTTCTCTCTTGTATACAGACATATAAATTACATGATTGTGTTGTCTAGACATATTTGATATATATAATATATATTTTGTTGGTTATTTAAGCCCTGGACTCAGTGCATTGTTTGCTGGATCATACCATGAAGGGGTTGTTTCCAAACCTTTGCACGACCGCGCAGCGGGAATGTAAAGTTTAGGAAACAACGCCTGAGTGCAATGAAACAGCTACAATGCATTGAGTTTTAAATTCTTTTCACACATTGCAGTTTTTTCTACAAACCCATCCAAAGGGAACGAAATCACCAAAGAACACATTTTCAATGACATTTGTTGCAAGGGTCAAGTTGGCAAATCATCAAATCCAATGAGAAAAGTCTATTCATCACCATGACAACTGTTTAATTAATGACCTTGCATGTGTTATTGATATTTCACACACTGTTCTATATGTGAAATACTGTGTTCGGATTGGCTGGTTTCGGACACACCTTGCCTAGCTATGTGTGAATATTAAACATAACTTAACATTATATTAACAGTGTAGAATATTCGTTGTTTCATACTTTCAACTGTTTCTTCACAGTGATACAGACGTTGTATCTCAAGCGTATCTAAATCTGATATTCCATTCCTCTGACCCACCTCCTTTCTGGGCTGTATCGGCTGTATGGTACGGAGATACCTAAGACATACAACACCGCTTAGTTACATATATATACCACTGAAAGGAACACGACGTGTATTAGGAATCATAGATGCTATATGCAATAGCAGAGTTGAGTAAAAGTAACCCTAATAATTTTGAATCGAACTTTTATACATTTCATAAAGCACAAACCGTTAATCTAAGCATACGGACAGGAAAATAGATTTAATTTAATTTAATATAATTTTAATGCCAATGTCGATGTTTAATTAGTGTTATTACACAAGTGCAGATGTGCTTTTCCGATTTTATTTTATTTTTGAAATACGAGCCAAACAGATTGTATTGTAGAATATTTCTTAATTAATTAATTATTAGTTTTCTTAACATTAAAAAATTTTATTACCACAATTTATCGCAAGGGGGTCAAACAACAAACTAATGTTCGTGTTTTATAAAACATGATACAGTAACAAAAATTTATATTAAATTAAATGTTACAGAAGTATTGGAATGTTCATATACTCAAAGGTATGTCTAATAATCAATTTGAGTCATATCAATGGAACGCTTTACAATTCTTCCTCGACCTGACTATCATCAAGTTTTCCGATGGTTGTTTTTCCTTTGGCCTTACTTCTGGATATCATCAAGTTTTAGGAAGATAATGATGACAATTTCTCTCAATAATTCATGAATTCGACCAAGTCTTCATAATTGTTTTATATAACTGAACAATATCTAACTACGAGAAATAGAATTTTAGCTGTAGTCGGAATAAGTCAAGGAAGAGCTTTGTGCCCGTCTTTATTGATAATGTTCACTGATGCGGAATAACAGTCCATATCTCAAAACGTACTGACACCGAATTTGTGACTAGCAACTAGCATAATCTAGGCATTTGTCATTAAAAGTGATTCATTTGTACCATTTGTCTCATTAATATCTGAGAAACTATACAAAACGTCGACGCACTGATTACATAATTTTTTGAAAATATTTTTTTAAGAAAACACTTATAACCAATTAGTGGTGTTGATTTTGAAATTTTATTTCTGCCAAAACTCATTGATATTATTGTAATAATTAAAAGATGAAAAATAAATAAAATCATGTCTTATGATACATGTAGTTCTTATTGTTATATTATGTTTTATGTTGTATGATTATACTATTTCTAAAGATACACCTTATATTACATACACGACAGGGTTCTAGTAGTAGTATAGGACACGTACTTTGGCCCTACCAACTAGGCATCACTATATACTGAGATATGGCGTATAGGCAAATGTATGCAATTTTATAGAAATCTTTTATATATCTAAATGTACCTGGGGTCTTTACTGAAGGCATTCTGTTTATAATGCATAACACTCTCATAGTCATAGGGGACAAGCGTTTTAGCACTGCGCTTGACATCAAAGTTGCTACTGAAACCTGAAAAGCAGTTACGGTTAGAAGGGATAACAATAGAGAGAAAGCTTGTGGAACTATTATCTATATTCAATCTTGATCTTGATAAGATTAACCTAAATTGCCAACGGCGTCCTCGCTATAGTCAAACATCTTTTACAAATCCATGCTGCCCAACTGATTGGACTACTCCCGTTGCATTTATGAAATTGCATTTTACGTTTTATTAATTAACACAAAATTTGCTTAATTAATTATATAAATGAATACTTACAAGGCACAGACATTTTTGTTATAAAAAACGATTTACCTGTTTTAATGTTTTCCCAAATAATTTTAATGAATTCCTCTCTGTCCGGACGACTGTGTTCGTGGTAAAATCCAAGGGCGTGAATAATCTCATGTTGCACTGTACCCATCTGATACAGGCAACCTTTGGCTTTGAGGGTCACCGTTTGATTTTTTCCAAGCATTCCCACGAATGAGGAACATCTTAAACACAATACATAAACGATATATTTTCGAAGGACTATCAAAAAACTGTTGAATCATTCTTTTGATCTGTATTTTCAGTGTTAGAATAGTTTCGTAAAAAAACATGGAAGTGTTTCAACAGCTACGGAGCAATACGTTACGGAGCTTCAGTGTTATAAATAATATCTTGGTTGTCGATCACCTAAAGTTTACTATTCTGGTTGATTTGATATTACCAGTTAATATTAGTTTTTGTAGAGTAATCGTAAATCTATACTATCTCCAAATCGAGAATTTAGCTTTTGTTGAAAAAATCGTTCCTTATTAACTTACCCACCGCCATTCTTTATATCGAGATAGTTTCGCACTCCAGCTTTGTATTTCTTGAATTTGATGCAATTTGGTTTATCTTTGTTAGAAGATAATCTGCCTTCTAAGTCTTCCAAACACGCAACTATATAATCCTTTTCCGATTTACCTGCACAAAACATTGACATGTGTGAATCAAAGACTTTATCGAGTGGATGATTGAAAGTATATCGGAAATGTACATTGTGTTACACAGTTATGTTTTTGTTTGCTCAAGCATTCAGTAATTGAGGTTTAGAGAACTGAACTGAATGATTTGCTTGTAAAATATTTAACAACTGGATTGTTCCTTCCTTAAACCACGGGCTTTCAAGAGAAAAACCAAGACCAAATGTAATTGATAAATGTAATATGGACCATTATCACCACCACCACCTACAGCGTCAACTATAACGACACCATCACATTGGTTTCATTGGGAGGTCTATCGATGCGTTGGAGTTTAAAAGGGTAACACATTGTGGGGTCCAGTCTGTACTATCCCTTGGAATAGATATATTGTGGGATAACGACTGCATAACAACCAATCAAATCAACAAGAATGATCAATTGACCATGAGTATATTGGGAAGGCATTATGAAGCAACCAATCAAATCAGTTGGAGTGATCAAGTGACCATGAGTATATTCAGATATTGTGAAGTCATTATGAAGCAACCAATCAAATAAATTTGAGTGATCAATTGACCATTAGTATATTGGGAAGGCATTATGAAGCAACCAATCAAATCAACTAGAGTGATCAATTGACCATGATTATATTGGGAAGGCATTATGAAGCAACCAATCAAATAAATTTGAGTGATCAATTGACCATTAGTATATTGGGAAGGCATTATGAAGCAACCAATCAAATCAACTAGAGTGATCAATTGACCATGATTATATTGGGAAGGCATTATGAAGCAACCAATCAAATCAGTTGGAGTGATCAAGTGACCATGAGTATATTCAGATATTGGGAAGTCATTATGAAGCAACCAATCAAATAAATTTGAGTGATCAATTGACCATTAGTATATTGGGAAGGCATTATGAAGCAACCGATCAATTCAACTAGAGTGATCAATTGACCATGATTATATTGGGAAGGCATTATGAAGCAACCAATCAAATAAATTTGAGTGATCAATTGACCATTAGTATATTGGGAAGGCATTATGAAGCAACCAATCAAATCAACTAGAGTGATCAATTGACCATGATTATATTGGGAAGGCATTATGAAGCAACCAATCAAATAAATTTGAGTGATCAATTGACCATAGTATACACAAGGTGACACTAAAGTATGGGAGCCCTCCCCCCAGACAGACATATACCAATGCCCCCCCCCAAATATATGTCATATATCATTTAAAACTTATCAAACTTTGCATTGATTTACCTAGTATCATGGTTAAACTGAGAAATGGGAAAAAAGTTACAGGCATTTAAAAAGTTAGTGTGGACAAAATTAAAGTTAGTTTTAGACCAATCAGTGTGCCAACTTGTCTTCCCTTGGCCATATTAACAGCAGCGATTCTTTTCAGATATGACCTTTAAATTGGGATGTGGCATTTTGTATTTTAAAACCTTCTTTGGTACTTTGATCATTGTTTTTAGATCATCTACATTTTATTTTGGGAAAGTAACAAATTGGTTCAATTTCTTTACAAAGAGCCACTCTTAGTCTCCACTTCTACAATTGCTTCAATTCCCAATTGTACTCCACAGAGTAGCAAACAACAGAAAATGAATGGATAATGATAGCTGCATCCCAAATTGGTTCAATTTCTTTACAAAGAGCCACTCTAAGTCTCCACTTCTACAATTGCTCCAATTCCCAATTGTACTCCACAGAGTAGCAAACAACAGAAAATGAATGGATAATGATAGCTGCATCCCAATGAACAAAATGTGATTACCTAAATCGAGGTTTCATCACTTTCATTAATCTAAAATGAATAAGAAATTATTTTTCTATTTTCAAATTTCTTCCATGTGCATGTAATAAAATTGGTTATGTCTTAGGCCCTAAGGATCTGAAACCTGCTGGTCAAAATGGAATTACGGACCAGTTGCAATGTTATTCTCCTACACCCAGTGAAAAAATCAACTGGTCTGTATCAAAAATAACCTGATAATGACCAGCGGACCGGCCCTTAGGGGCTACATTGTAATGTGCTGGGAGGTTTAGGCTACAGGGTTTATACCGAGGGAAATATGTGGGGGACCGTATTGGCATCATTGGTTTCAATGCATTGTGTCCTGAGATTCCAAAATTAAGAAATAATTGTAGTTATTTGAGAAATTGATTTTAAAGTTTTATTAATTGAATTTTCTTTATTTTATTAAATAATATTCTTTGGTTTTTGAAGATTTTTTACAAAGCAAAACATTATTTTTCATTCTAGATACAATAACATGCATATTGGCATACTTTGTTTTAATATAAGATTGTTATAACTCCAAGTTTTGCAAGTCACATGACCAATTCTTAGAGAGTTGATTGGTTGAAACAGTTGATATCAGATATGACAATTTGAAATTAGAAATAAGCTGTTATTCCGGTGGGAAATTGTATCAACTCCATTTCCATAGTTTTAAAAAAAGGATCTTGTAAATTGTTTCAAGGTATGATATTTCATATAAGATATCTCTAGGGTGAGACCAGGTGACATACAAAAAATCAAGTTTCACATAGCAATACTAAGTAAGATACAGACCTCTAAACTTGCAAACCTTGATTTCTCAGTTCCGTAAAAATGTGAGATAGTACAAAATTATTCTCATGCGACGATATATCAGAGTCTCCCGCAAGCTTTAAGGTAAAGAGAGATTCTGATATATCAAAATAAGGGTAACCTTATTCCGTGAAAAGTCTCTGACATCGAATTATAGTTAATACATTACAGGCCACATGTACAGGGTGTCAAAAAACAACAACACCCCCCTCTACAGCAAAATTTACTTAATGATACATAGTGTGTCATATCTCATTTTAAAGACAATTTAATTCTGGAGTTACCTGAGAAATTTCAGCCTAGTATGATATAATTTTACAGATTTACAGCTGATTATAAGTAGTTGGTATGGCCACCACTTGCCGCTCAAAAAGCAGCTAATCTGGATGGATATGATTTCAGTGGGGATTCAAAGAAAGGTTCAGCATTGCATAACCCTTAAAGCACTTTCCTCATATTCTTCAGAAATACATCCTTACTGTATCAATTTTCAAGAGACCCCTTCTCCATCAATTCCCCTACCCTGTCTTTCACAATTGAACCTATATGTTCAGCATAGTTGAGATCTGGGCTATTTCCTACATACGAATCATTTCCAAAATTTGATCTTAAACCAGTAACAAAGTAGCAAACAAAGTACTGAAGTAGCAAACTTCAAAACAATGCAACTTTTTTAATCTAAAGTTTTATTCAATGAAATTTGATGAGTAACTCCAGAATTAAATTATCTTTCAGATGATATATGACATGCTATGTAACATTAAGGAGTTTTTAAGGAGCTGTAGAGGGGGTGCCGTTGTTTTTTGACACCCTGTATATACAGGGTGGGCTTAAAAAACGTCCAAATTAATTTTTAATTTCAATATAGCTTTTTGAAAATGCTTGGATTTCAATTAGATTTTCACAATTCTACAATAGTTCAATAATTGGAATAAATGAATCTCTATGGGTTTTGAATAATGAATTGGTAAACATACACTAGTGTCTGTTTATCTTTATTATTCGAAAACCCATAAACATTCATTCATCCTATTTCTGAAACAAATGTAAAATTTATTCTTGCATATCCTGTGAAATGTTCATTGAAATCCATAAATGTTCAAAGAACTTATATTGAAATAATAAATGTGGACGTTATGGGCCACCCATTAGGTAGTGTTGAATGCTGGAATACAATGATAATTTTCGATTTTGAGAAATTAGTAAAAACATGCTTTGTAGGAAAAATGGTGACATGCCATGATATGTGAAGAAAGGTCGATGACGATAGATGCGTAAAGCAAGTTAAGGCGACACTGACAAACAACGCTTTCTGTATATGTTGGACTCACTGTAAGACTTGTCTATTTTAAAATAGACAATGCCCTTGGTCCATAGTCCATTGTATCCAATTGCATTTTTAAACTTTTTAGTCTGAAATAACAAGCTATAAATAATGTACCTGAGTGGGGTATTTCATGCTTAAAAAGCAAGAAAGATGACATGGTATGTAATGATGATGGAAAGTCACTTTGGCCTTAGTCAAATTTGCTCTACGGTGGCCGTAGCTTCACAAAATCGATATAGAAAGTTTACATAGAATAGCTTATCCCTATTATATATTTTATGCTGCATATTTCTCTCGATTTGGGGAAGCTACGACCGCCGTACGGTTGCCGTAGATCAAATGTGACTGAGGCATTACAGTCTTCTGGACGTTGTAGTAGAAAAAAGCGACAGAGACAAATTGGTCGTGAAGCACACGCAGTCTATGATAACTCACTGTACACGCTGTCTAACTTATAATAGACTTCGCCATTAGGCCAAATCCCATTGTAGCCAATTGCATTTTTAAATCTCTGTAAAACATGCACTAAATAATCTCACTACTGCTGACTCACCCTATGCAGACAGAGCCTGTGGGAAATATTGGGTGCGGCGCAAATGAGCGGAGGGTGCGGAGCTAACGGTCATTTTTTAATTTAAAATTGGGGTATTTCTGAAACTAAGCCGTTTTGGGACTTCAAATATACCAAGATATGTGTATTTGACACCAAATATCAATAAAATTGTGAAAATAGTAGTGCAATTCATTTTATAGCGACGCAGTATGCCTTAAACATTTCCCAGACCTATATATTTTGAGACTGTCCTTTTTAATACTGCGTCCCCAGCATTCATAAAAAATGGTGTTCAAGATACACTACCCATGCAAATTATTTTTGCATCTTGGAAGCCAGGCAGTATCTGTGTGATTTTATAAAAAAAACGGAAATGTTCTTCAGATATGAGCCCCCTCTAAATATTGGGTGCGGAGGTACGTTTATGGAGCTCCTCCGCACCCAATATTTAGAGGGGGCTCATATCTGAAAAACATTTCCGAATTTTTATAAAATCACACAGATACTGCCTGGCTTCCAAGATGCAAAAGTAATTTGTATAGATAGTGTACCTTGAACACCATTTTTTATGAATGCTGGAGACTCAGTATTAAAAGGATAATTTCAAAATATATAGGTCTGGGAAAGGTTTAAGGCACACTGCGTCGCTATAGAATGAATTGCGCTACTATTTTCACAATTGTATTGATATTTGGTGTCAAATACACATATCTTGGTATATTTGAAGTCCCAAAACGGCTTAGTTTCAGAAATATCCCAAATTTAAATTCAAAAATGACCGTTAGCTCCGCACCCTCCGCTCATTTGCTCCTCACCCAATATTTCCCACAGGCTCTGTCTGCATAGGGTGTGACTGTAGTTCTATGTTAGCATCCCCGTGTTAGCATCTACATACTAATTTTATCTTATAGCTAGCAACAACACGTTCAGGCACTGCTCCTCTAATCCATTTTTCCCATAAACGAACATCGAATAATTCCTGGATGTACAGGAAATAAAGATACAAGTGGTCTATTTAAAGGGATGATATTACATAAGGATTAAACTGATACGGGTTGTACCCTAACAAATAAGGTGTACAGGGTGGTCCAAGTGATATGTTTTAACCAATTGCCGATGGGCTGCTAGATCTAAGATGTCGGACATGTCATAACATTTGTGTTTAGAATAAAAACACTTTGTATCTCATCTTATATACGACTTTAAGTTTATTATTGAACCCAATTAACAGTGGATAGGGAATTTGATTAATTGGTATATCATAAGTTCAAATTTATTATAATGCCTGTCAATTATGCCCAGTTTAGGTCAAGATTGAGGGCTATACAAAAATGACGTCATTTGTATTATGGACGCTGGTTGATACTGTACGTATTATAATAAAATTGAATTTATATACAAAATCAAAGACAATTAGATTCCCTATCCACTGATATATAATATGACATGTTTTAATCAATAAAACCAATCTTTATTTTTGAAATACGAGTGACTCATTTTTGGACCACCCTGTATACTGTAACGATCATGACATGTATGATCAATGTACATGTACTCTATGTTTTTGCGCTAAAAGAGGTCAGACAATTGCTATACAAATTTAGTACTGTTCTAGGCAATTTTTAGCCATAAAATCAATATTTTAACAATCAAATTAAAATGTAACGCTTGCTTAGCATGACCTTGACCTATATTACCAGAGCAGTGAAATACTTAGCCTCTTCAATAGACTAAATCGTTTTATTGTGATTAGATACAGTCAACAATGATTCTTTCAAATGACATTACATTTCATTGCGTTGTATTTACATGTTTATATGCGTTTCAATTACATACCGTATCATCTTGGTTTTTTAGTACTCTTATGTCTCCATCCTGTATTTCTGAAATATGTGAAGTGTCCTTATAGTCTATAAGTTAAATTGATCGATGCAATGTGTTCATTATACAAGGCTATTAAAGTTTCTCATGTATTTTAATCCATATGACAAATCTTCGACAAGACGTCGGACATACAAAACAATCAAAATCATTCTGCAATGCAGAAACTCATATAATCCTTCATTCAAATGGCTTCATTTATTCCTTAGTTAAGAGAATGGTGAAATATTCTTGGATCACCTCCCCTCCATAAGTTTGGCAACCTTAGCTCCTCCATTGAACTACGTGTTAAAGCCTCTTTACTTTTGAATTTGTATTTACTTAACCTACGATGAAAATACTTATACTATTGATTGAAACGTAATTTGACCTTATTTCCAATACCTCCTAATTTTCTCAAAACAGGTCCAAAATTGATGATGAATTTCATGAATTTTTGAAAATCGACATTCCCATGTTAACCAATGGAAAATGGTAGGTTTGAACCAAGTTATATGACAGAATGTCCATCACTCCGAGTCCTTGCAAAAAGTACAAGTTAGGTAGGCAATTTTTCAAAAAACCTCTCTCATTGAAATAACAAAAGAGGCGAAAAATGATTTTCAAAAATGTAACTTTAGTATTGATCAAGTAAGCTAAACACTTAGTGTACAAAAAAGTTAGACAATTCAATTTTCTATATAAAAATATTTTTCGCTGAATCTTTTACTGAATAGATATCCTGATTTCTGATTTGCCCCGAACCCACCATTTCCCGTTGGTTTACATGGGAATGAAAAATGTAACTTTAGTATTCATCAAGTAAGCTAAACACTTAGTGTACAAAAAAGTTAGACAATTCAATTTTCTATATAAAAATATTTTTCGCTGAATCTTTTACTGAATAGATATCCTGATTTCTGATTTGCCCCGAACCCACCATTTCCCGTTGGTTTACATGGGAATGTCGATTTTCAAAAATTCATCAAAATCATCAATTTTCGACGTATTGTAATCGAGGAAAAGAAATTGGGAAAATTTGAAGGCATTGGAAATAAAATCAAGTTACGTTTCCATCAATATTATAAGTTATTTCATTGCAGGTTAAGTGAATAGAAATTCAAACGTAAAGAGGCTTTAACACGCAGTTCAATGGGGGAGCTAAGGTTGCCAAACTTATGGAGGGGAGTGTATGTAGTAGTAGTGTGATGCAACAATGACGATTGGGTCAATAGTTTTCTAGCTAGCTGTAGAGCTATGCATGTTAAATATACCAAAGCCTATAATCGAAATATCAATATTTATCATACCAGATTCTTCATCTTCCTCATTTTTATCATCTGCAGTCTCGTGGAGCTTGTGCTTATTTTTCTTACGTCGTCTTTTCACAGCTTTAATATGGAAATATATAAAGATCTGATATCAACTCATTTCCAAGTAAACTTACATCTGTATATGACATCCTCTTGGTTTCTCACATTCTGGAAACCTCATCTTCTAGTGTATACCCTTTACAATTTGTCCACGAGATAATTCATACTTTGATTTACATGACAAATCCTCTTTGAAAACGCATAGGAACTACCATTGACAAATCACCCCCTTGATAGTTCACACCCCTTCAACTAGATAATTCATACCTTTGCCAAATCGTTCCCATGGATATTCATAGGCCCTACTGTTGACAATCATTCCATTGGCAGTTCAAACCCTTTCAAACTCATCTTCTAGATAATTTATACAATTGACAAATCATTTCCTTGATCGTTAACGCCCTTGACAACTCATCCAGTGGATAACCCATAACTTTTACAACTGGACGACTCATGTCAGATAACTAACACACTGAACAAATCATTCCTGGATAAGTAACACTGAACAAATCATTCCCTGGATAAGTAACACTGAACAAATTATTCCCTGGATAAGTAACACTGAACAAATTATTCCCTGGATAAGTAACACTGAACAAATCATTCCCTGGATAAGTAACACTGAACAAATCATTCCCTGGATAAGTAACACTGAACAAATCATTCCCCGGATAAGTAACACTGAACAAATCATTCCCTGGATAAGTAACACTGAACAAATCATTCCCTGGATAAGTAACACTGAACAAATCATTCCCTGGATAAGTAACACTGAACAAATCATTCCCTGGATAAGTAACACTGAACAAATCATTCCCTGGATAAGTAACACTGAACAAATTATTCCCTGGATAAGTAACACTGAACAAATCATTCCTGGATAAGTAACACTGAACAAATCATTCCCTGGATAAGTAACACTGAACAAATCATTCCTGGATAAGTAACACTGAACAAATCATTCCCTGGATAAGTAACACTGAACAAATCATTCCCCGGATAAGTAACACTGAACAAATCATTCCCTGGATAAGTAACACTGAACAAATCATTCCCTGGATAAGTAACACTGAACAAATCATTCCCTGGATAAGTAACACTGAACAAATCATTCCCTGGATAAGTAACACTGAACAAATCATTCCCTGGATAAGTAACACTGAACAAATTATTCCCTGGATAAGTAACACTGAACAAATCATTCCTGGATAAGTAACACTGAACAAATCATTCCCTGGATAAGTAACACTGAACAAATCATTCCTGGATAAGTAACACTGAACAAATCATTCCCTGGATAAGTAACACTGAACAAATCATTCCCTGGATAAGTAACACTGAACAAATCATTCCCTGGATAAGTAACACTGAACAAATCATTCCCTGGATAAGTAACACTGAACAAATCATTCCTGGATAAGTAACACTGAACAAATCATTCCCCGGATAAGTAACACTGAACAAATCATTCCTGGATAAGTAACACTGAACAAATCATTCCCTGGATAAGTTACACTGAACAAATTATTCCTGGATAAGTAACACTGAACAAATCATTCCCTTGGTAAAGCATAGGTTTGACAAGTTACTCCCATGAAACTTCACACCAAGGAGAGCGCATCCCCTAATAACAAGTACCCTTTACAACTCAAAAAACTAAATAATTCCTCTCATCCTCTGAATACCAAAGTCACTTTGTCGGGTTTGTTATGTCAAAACCACAATCAAGTGGTGACATATTGTTACAGTCTCCAACTTTTTTTGTAGACGATGTTCGTCGTTTTTTGTTCGGTGAGTGACGTTTGGCGTCTGTAACAAATGGAAGGTTGTGGCATATTGCATGTTGATGCCTTATTTTATTATTATTATACTGCAAACCATCTACAAGTGTAAGTCAAGAGTTTGCTCGAATAAAATTTCATCGACATGTCAATATAATAACCATCAATGCTAATCTTGATTTCATTGTTATTGGAATTTTAAAGCACGTTTTAAATGATTACGATTGTAAAAAGATTTCCGAATGAGACGAAGATAACAGAACAGCTGAATTGATCCCATGATAATTATTTTTACATCCTTATCAACCTCCAAATAACACTTAATAATTCAAGACTCGCAAAAAACCTTTTTATATTCTTAAAAAAACATGTAAGTTGAATGCCACCAGGAGCCCACCAAATATTATATCAGAACAGGTATATACGTTTTTTCCAGTTAGTTCCTTATCCAAGTTCATAAGACTTCCAACTCACCCAGATCTTCTTTACTAACACTAACTACATGTACCCCCACATTGCTTTCTCTAACACCCTATTATATGCACACATGGTTCATTGAATTACACTAGCGCAATTGTTTATTAAATCGTTAGGGATTGTAAGAATCTTAAATATCTTATCGGATTTGCTAGTTTATCTTTTCTATGACACAATATATCAAAATGTAATGCCATTATATATTCTTGAATAGAGTCAACTCACCTTTATTATGTCGCTTGGTAGACTCATCTTCGTCATTACAATTACTTTCAATCTCCCCCTCTCCCGCGATACTATTGTCAATCTCAGGATCCTCACCGTCATCATCATCAGTTGTGCTGTCATTTTCCTCCTCAACTTCTTCATTAGCCTCATCTTCATCGTATCTCTCACCATTGTCCTTTACATTAAATATAAAAAGGATAACGTTTAGAATTATTAGTATAAATCTTTGTATAACACGCCCAAGTCCACGTTTTTTGAAAGCGAGTAGCTTAACCTCTTCCTTTTGATACCCGAAGTAAACACAAATACTGCCTCAGTCTGTGTTATTGTTTTGGTTCACATTTATTTACAGTACATGATGATGTTGACCCAATTCGACTTTTTAGTTTTTCATTTTTTAAATCAATTTTTACTTAGTTGAAATACGGTGGAAATAATTCAATGTTTTAGTTTTGGTAATAATGTACGTAATTATCATTTATCAATCATTCACTTCTTATTTCCGCTCCATATTACCCACCTTTACTTTAATGCATACGGTTCGGTAGCACTCTACTTTAGGTTGCTTTAGTGTGAGCTATTAAAGAAAAGATGTCAACAATTAGATCAGTTTTATTTACAGTATAATGTAGATCTCGTACTTTCTGCATCGATAATGATTTTGTCTCCTGAATAAACAAGATTTTTTTATATTTCGTTTTTTAATTGTAAATCGTTAATGCAAATGTCGGGCGTGGACCAACAATGCCAATGCTTTCATTTTAATGAAACGTGTTAATAACTCGTGGAAAATGGGATTGACATGCAGAAATCTGGACAAAAAAGCAAACAGACAAAGGAAGGTCAGAAATTGAAAATCAGCGAACTATTGGCTATAAGGTCGACAGGAAATTTAAAAAAAACTTGCACAAGCCGATGGCTCAATACCCTTTGCATTCGTTTGACTTCACTTCTTAAAAGAGAGCTTCGTCTGTAGTTTAACTAGACTCTGCACGCAGGGTAATGGCTCAAGCGTGTACACGGCCATAGACTAAATGCGAGTAGAAATAATATTTACTTACGTCATTAAATATTCGAAATTCAGACAAAGTGATGTCATATTTGAAATCTACATGTAAAAGTACATCTAGAAATATGGTTTCGAAAATTGTTTATCAACTTGACTTTGAAAATTTAATTTTTTTGAAAAAGTGACTTCTAGTTCGGGTTGATTCCCCATAGACCATGTTACAAAATCACACAAAGTGAAATGATTTTTTTTTTTTTTTTTTTTAATATATATTTATTTAAGTCAAGAACAGCTACATATTTGTCACATAATGTTTACAGAATCGAATATATCGAAATAGATGCATACACGTTGTAAAGTCAATTATGCTTAATTATCAAGGAAAATCAGTCGAAAGTATATCGTTTAGAGGATCCCATTTATCTCCTCTTCCAACACTTATGTCTAGTTTGTAGTAGGTTAATACATTTAACTTTAAACCTCTAAATGTTGGTTTCACTCTAGAATGATTACATAGGAATACATATCTTTTAAAAATACTAAAAACGTTATTTAAAACAACCGCCTCTTTGGTCATTAAATTTGGTCCTAATATGATAGTTTGCTTGTTACAGAAATGCTCATATTCTTTTGGGAGCCATTGTTTTATATCTTGTACAAGGTTCTGGACTATTGCACAATCATGAAAAAGGTGGCATATTGTTTCTACATGTATCCGACAAAAAGTGCACATATCAGAGTCTGTTAGACCACACATCTTTAAGTATTTGTTGGTCGTAACAAATCTATGTATTACTTTATAGTTGAATGATGCAAGTTTAGGTTCGAAATTGCTTATTTTGTTCATTTTATTTATTATTTCCCAGTCTCCTGTTTCAATTGTTGTATTTAAATCGATATTCCACTTTTCCGAATAGGTGCCGTTTATTGGTATACTTTTGATAAATTCCCAGTAGATTTGTTTACATATTTTTGAATGAGATAGAAACTTATTCAAGTATTTTTTAACCGTACGGGTTTCATTCATATTATGTTCACAAGTTAAAATTGTCTTAATCCAATCATTTGGTATTGAGTTTTTTAAAGATAAAAAGTCCAGGAAGTTTAACTTTGCCTTAAATTTTTGGTTAAATTCGTTAAGGTTAAGAACTTGTTTATTCGGCTGAAACATATCTCGGAGTACAAGTATTTCTTTTGCGCCTTTAATTTCTTTAATGATCACCTTAACATTTTCGTTTCTCGTATATTTTAACCAGGAATTGCACAAAATATTCTCCGCGTGAAGAAATTGATTATTTTCTACAATACGCTCTTGAATTTGGGTGTAATGTTGAAAGGCACGAGTAAAACTTCTCCAAAACGTATTTGAAACGCTACATTCAATTCTTTGTAATGATTTCGTGTCGTATGTAAATAGCTCCTTACCTGATTCCAGCCCTAAAGTTTTTATGGCAATATCTTGCCAGGTGCCATTTCTAAGTAATTTTTGCAACCATGTTAGTTTTAATGAGTTTTCAAATAGTTGTGGATCGATCATTCTTAAACCCCCGTCTTTGTAGTCTTTGACCAATTGAGAAAAACTTACCTTAGAGACTGGGGAATTCCAAATAAATGTAGTAAAAAGGTTTTTAATTCGTTTATGGAACTCACCCGATATACTGGGTAAAACCAGCATCAAATGAACTATTTTTGGTAAAACAAAAGACTTTAAAACCGTTATTTTCCCAAGTAGAGATGATTTTTCTTATATTAGACAGATAACATTTTCTTTTACTGAAGATATTTTAATTTGCATAACTATTTGATACATAAGGTTGATATGAAAATCGAACCACTAAAACATATATTATTTAAGTTAAAGGGAACTTTCTACTATACCCGCCATGCTATCTGACTCGAACGAGCCACCTAGTGGTGAAACTGGTAACTACCTACTCGCATGTGCGTTATTCTGTTGTTTCTCTCCATTAATTTATTGTTCAGTCGTTATACTCGTACCTTGCGCACAGAGTCTAGTTATAAACTATAAGAAGACGAAGCTCTCTTTTAAGAAGCGAAGTCGAACGAATGCAAAGGGTATCAAATATTGTGCTTCGTTTTGTAATCTTACTGTTTTGTCTTTGAGTGCTTCGAACATTCCTTCATATAGCTACACCAACTCACCTCTCTCATCTTTTCCCCATTCGGTCCCTCAGTGCAAGGAGGCTTTTCTCCAAAGGTCCCGACGACCAAGAGGCAAATCAACATCTTAAGTAGCATCATCTTTTCTATCTATTTCACCAGAATCCCAGTAAATAATGCAGCAATACTTCTCGATTACGTGATATTTAAACCGTTCTGTAAAGTAATTAAAATCCAGTCAAGCAGCCTCATTAGTCGTATCAGACCTGCCAACCTACTGTTTTTCCGGGAATCTAATTTTTTTAATGAGAATAGTGAATATTTACCGTTTTTTTTGCTGTAAAATATCGTTCTTTAGTCTGAAATTGAGTCTTGCAGAACATCAAGCTCAAGAAAAAAAATTACAGACGGTTGTGTTGATCAGCTGCATAAGCACACATAATTGCCATTTTCACGTCGTTATCTAAATGAAAGGACTCTTCTTACATCAGAAAAGTAGAGCATTACGAATGCATCGAAGGTTGCACTTGAAGACCAGCTCCTCCACCTCCTCCACCTCTTGTGCCAGAGCACATGATTCTTTTGTCCAAGTCTGTCTCTCAGCGCCGTGAACATAATCTCAGTGGAAAAGTCAAATTGGCTCATTATGGAGGGGGGGGGGCGTTTGCACCAAATTTTCCACCTCCTCCCCCGGGTACGCCTATGCTGTTACGTGCGTCTCTAGTCGTTTCTTTTAATTAATGACTTCACACTAACAAAATTAATGTCTGCGGGAAAACCATTTTCGTTCATCGACTTGAAAGTTACAATTTTAAACAGTGAAAATATGATTTGTCCATAATTCAAATTAAATGTTTCTTCGTATTTTAGTGTACTTTTAATATAATACGTTATAACCTACAATGCAAACGTACCTTTATCAGAAACCCACAATGAATGTAATCGCATATTTTTAAGTAATTTGCCAAAATAGCTTATTATCCTTCTTGATGGTATTCAAGCAAACCAACTCACCGTGGTGATAACCAATCAGGACACATCATCACACAAATTTTACGGAAATTATATTCAATTGTGACAAGTATGATTTATTTGATGGCGAGTAAACGAAAAAAACGAAAAGAAAAACATGCGTCGGCCGGGAATCGAACCCGGATCTAATGCTTGGAAGGCATCAATGCTAACCTTTACACCACCGACGCTTCATGAATTTTTGCCTACGAATACAATTTAACCACAGTATATTTATAGCGTCTATATTTGCTTTTCAGTTTTATGTTTGATATTAAGTTTCTTGATGAATTCCGACTTTTCAATTCAGTTTTTAAAATTTCTGTTCAATTTTTCAATTCTATCACATCACATTTCTTGTTTGATATTGCACTTTCAATTTTAACTTTTTTTTTCAATTCTATCAATGTTTGTTAAAAAATCAATCTCAGTATTTGATATTTCAAATCAGCAATTCCACATTTCATCCATGTTTGATTAAAAAACAACTTTACTGTCAACTGCGAATTTCAAAAGGCAAATACTAAAAAACTATTTTCAGACCTGCCAATTTGAAATTAATTTTTATATTTCTGTGTAGATTCATCAATCTGGTTACTTCAAAGAATATTGATTCATCTTCTTCTAAATGCAAAATTCGAAAATAAATCATTATTCTCTGAAGTAAATGAACTTGAATTAGTTTATATCATTTTTATAACATTTCTGCGTCGAATTTCAGTGCCAAATGACACGTACTGCTTTCTGGTTTCATAGCAATGATGGATATTGGCAATTTTGGTTAATTGGCTATTTCAATGCAGCTCCGGGATAAATAAGGGTTATGTACTGGGAGGTTTTGGATATGGGGTTTATCCAGAGGGAGATATGCATGAGGGACCGTCTCTATATATTGATTTATTTCCAGTTTTACTGGACGGTGTTCGGCAGTTGATGTTCCGTGTTCAGAGTTCGGCGGTTGGTGTTCGGCGTTTGGCGTCTGTAACAAATGACAGGTGGTAACATTTTGCATGTTAATGCCTTGTCTTTTACCTCGTTTTCTTTTTGTTTTCCCCTTTGGCGATTATACTTCGTAAATGTTTCAGCGGTTATTTATAAACAAGGTCATAATATTCAACAATAATGTGGAAAGACAATGATATTTTCCCTGGATATATTTTCAACAGGTTTCACTTTTATTTGCATATTTAATTCATGCAAAGGCAATGTATCAACTGTCAAGAGTTTGGAAGTATTAGTGCCCCCCCCCCTTCCCTTGGATATGTCAATACACAGTTTGACATTGTGAATCTAGTCTCTCAGTAAAATGTATCTATATCAAATTATTCCCTCAAACGTTATATCCATGTCAAAGTCTGATTAGACACATGTGTATCTACCCATGAATTATCCTTCTTAGCAAATACGTCTTGGAAATCCAGGTTCAGGTTCTAAGAAATTACGCTCCTTGTGAATAACAAAAGGATCAATGTGAATTATAATCCTTTTTTATTTCTTATAATGTCACTGTGCAAGAACTAAGAAGCTATACCAATCAGAAAAGTGTTTACATAGATCAGAAAATAGTTAAACAATGATATAAACCAAACAAATGGATTCCTCTATTTAAATGTGAATCGGTTGTTAGAACAATCCGCTTCCGTGAGAATGCAGACAAATGTTTTAAATTCCTTGAATTTAGTAATTGGTATATTTATGTATTGTTACAGTCTTGTTATTGAAAGAATGTTAGATGATTTCTTATGGAGTGTTTACGTGTGTCTGTAACATTACTTTGACGATTTTCTTTGATGATTATGTGATTGTATTGAAATGAGCTGGAATCATAAAATTAAAAGCATAGTTAAGATTGTGTACCCTGCGCGCAGAGACTAGTTATAAACTACCGATCTATAAACTACTAAGACGAAGCTCTATTTTAAAAAGTGAAGTCGAACAAATGCAATGAATTAGTGTAGTGATAGATGCACCATTGCAATACACACGGTTACTCTTTCCCCCTCTTTCCGTTTCCAAGGTAAGCCATCCTCCGATCACAGGGTGAGCATGTTAAATAAAAACAGAAGTATGGTAAACCAGAATGATATTGGACCCATGATGAAAAATCGGCGGTTGCAAACTTAGTTCTCATGAACCTATACTTTCGAAAAAGCGTACTGCGCTCGTTATATAGAACATAAGTTTAGGAAACAACGCCCGAGTGGAATGAATCAGCGACAGAAAGGCATTTGTTGTTTTTCTTTGAATTGAACAAGTTTGAAAAAAAGCGGCGGAGTATGAGATTCACAATCCTTGATTTTCAAACATTTGGTAGGTCTTAAATTCAAATTAACAATTTTTCATGGTGTAGTTGATGTCGTTTTCGTGAAGTGTTTTTATCAAAATCTAGAAATCAGTAAGTAATGCTACCTTACCAACGGTTTGATTTTACTTGGTTAAAAGAGTGTCATCAAACAACAAACAAACAAACAAACAAACAAACAAACAAACACCTAATTTACTAGGATATGACACTCTTGGTAGTATAAATGAAATACAAGAATTTGATTCAGTTTCGTGTTTCATCCTTTTTCATATAACATTATAAATGACAGTACAGAATGCGCTTGGTCTTCTACATGTTGTTCAATTGTTGTATGACGAGTGTATCCTAGAGTTCGTTTTTGTTCACTTTGATCTTTGGTAACGTATTCGGCACTGAAATCATAATTCAATAGCTTTATTTGCACGTTCAGTATCTTCGGCTAATAATTTGAATGGCTGTATCAAATTAAATTGGTATATGTTTGAACATTGATCATTAAAAAAGATAATTAGGTTGGTGGCAGTTAAAATGAAAGTTATAACAATTCAGGTATTTAATTTTCATTTTAACCATTTAGGCAGAAGTCCATACAGGCACGTTCTGATTATTTGTAAAACCCTGTCTAAGGAGAGCAGCGATGCCAAATAATCGGAGATTGCCGAGATAGAGTTCGGGTTGAATAATCTTCGGCTATTTCCGATTGCATACCAAATCGTTACCCTCTATTGTTTATGTTTATGCCATTGAACAGAAGCAAAATTGCCTAGCCTATATTGACTCACCAATCCCCCTAGCAGGCCCATCGTCAGGGCTGAATCCGAAACGACTAGTGATATGCGGGAAGTCTGCTATAATTACCGGTTTCCTGTACGAAATGCGTGTTGTTGAATTTTCCGTGTATCGTACCTTTGGTGGGTGGCTTCTTTTGTGAATGCATGGTGGGACTTTACTTGAGCTGAAGTTGACGTTCACTATGAAACAAAACAAGACAATAACATGATGGATGTCACCACCTGGTTGGAAGTACATGCCGCACAACGCCGAACACAAAAGATGAGCATCAATGCCATGTACTGCCTGGTGGTTGTGGTTGAAAAACGTTTCAAATATTTTAATCTTCATGATATAGATCGGATTCATATGTAAGGGAAAATATATACAGGGTGTCTTTAAAATCTGACTTTGTATTATTTATTATTGGCAATTTATTGCACAGACTTTAAGGACACCCTGTAGATCGGTAGATTCAGCGTATTGGCGGACATCATTTAATTAGTTATATTTGTATTTATCACATGCTCTGTAAAATTCCAGTAATCTGATTGGTTGATTACCGTGTGAGTTTTCCCGTCTCACACGGCCGTCTCACACGTTACTAGAGGCAACCAGTGATGATCAATAGCAACGATGTGACGTCACTGATTATATCACTTCTAGACAACAAGGAGGATTGGAAGCCAGGGTTCCAACTCGATATTCTTTAATCTCCACGCATGCGTCATTTGCTATTCGTGTCTGTATAATTTGTACGACTGCATGGAGAATGACCCGATACTCTCCAACAAAGCTATCGCTAGGTGATTGTTTTGCAGAATATCGGTGTTGCATTCTGGGAGCCAATCCTCCTTGTAGACAAGGAGGATTGGAAGCCAGGGTTCCAACTCGATATTCTTTAATCTCCACGCATGCGTCATTTGCTATTCGTGTCTGTATAATTTGTACGACTGCATGGAGAATGACCCGATACTCTCCAACAAAGCTATCGCTAGGTGATTGTTTTGCAGAATATCGGTGTTGCATTCTGGGAGCCAATCCTCCTTGACTTCTAGATAAGGAAAACAATATGACGTCATAATATTTCACAAACAAGTACGAATACAACGGTATGACGTCATATTGTTTCAAAGCGAAATCAAAAATTATAGTAGTTACCAGAAGTACTGAACACAATCATAACTGACCAAATCAAAATGCTTCAAAATTCCTAGACATGTGATAAAATCGTCATCACACGTTTCAGCTTATGTGATACAGGAAATATTCCACTCGGGTAACAATGTATCACCACTCAAGCTTCGCTTTCGTGGATGATACAGTATTACCTTTCGTGGAATATTTCCTGTATCACATGCTGAAACGTGTGATAACTGATAATGTCATACTTACTGAGATGTGGAAGCATAGATGGCATACTCGTTTCCATTTTCTGATAGTCGGGGTTCCAAATATCAAAGGTCTGTAACAGATGTATCAGATATGTTCAATATTTTGCTAAGGCTAAACCCAAAATTCGGAAAGGGGTGGAAACGAAACGATAGGGTAATTATTTTAGTTCTGAACTGAAATGATAGTCTAGCCAATGATACTCACCAAACCATCTCGATTGTAAGGATTTTGATACACCAGTCCCGTTGGATGAGGGTTACATCTCCTCGTAGGAGATGGGATTCTGGGCAACTCAGTACATGGCAACGCTTTAAATCCAAAATCCGTTAATGTTGTCGTCTTCGGCCTTCTGTACTTCTTGGTAAATGTATTAGACATCTTGCAGAACTGACGTCAGGATTCGGATGGTTTTAGCCGAAAATAAAGTATTCTTCTTGGCAACAGTTACTTAGTTGATTGTTTTGTAAAATGTCTTACTTGTATGACGTCGTGTGTGTTAGTCACGATGTTGCATGCATGTATTGTTGCGCGTCATGACGTCATAACGTTACTCCTTCCCAACGTAATCAAAGAAACAACAATGTTTATAAACATGGACCTGTATCAATCTCAATATTTTTACTCAAGATTATAAAGGATTCAATTATTAACCCTTAAACGGTTAGGGAGGGGGCAGATCTGTCCCCCTAAGATATTTTTTGATAACCTTTTACGTTCATCTTTTACGTTCACCTGAATTAGGCATGTTTTAGCGAAGGAATTGTGACTCTAAGTTAGAGCTGGTCGAAGTTGGTAATATATCCAAATTGTCACTTTTTTGACACGACTTTAAACGAAAAGCCCCTATGTTCTTAGAATATGAATTTCTCCATTTATAATGAATGGCTCAATAAAGTCAATGATACTTAATACACCCTCTGATTATCGGTTTTCGACCGCCCTCCCTAATTCTTTAAAGCTTAACCGTTTAAGGGTGAAGGATAGACTAGTTGATATTTGACTAAGATATGGACACATTTAGGAACAATGTTAGGGTTTGAGATATCTGCTAGGCAGAACATATATTGTATTTTTAATTTTGAGATACCTTTGAATATTATTCCAATGAAATGAAAATAACATGGAACCGTTTAGCATATGTATACGTCTTCTCAAAGTACGTGCATTCAATTGACATTTGTTTTAGAGATAATTAATAAAGTAATTTACTTTAAAATATGCGTTTTTCCATATAAGTAATAAATTACTAAGAGGGAGGGGACATCGGTGATTGGACAGTGCAGGAGTTTATTTTAAAATCATATATCTGTTGACTAATTATTCAACAATTTCAGTGACGAGGCTAGAGAGAAAAAAAGCGACGAGACGAAAAATATCCAAATGGCGGCTATTTAACTCAGTCAGACGTAATATGTTAATAAGTGTTAAAAAACAAAAAAATGTTGAGATTTTTAACTCAGGCAGAAATATGAACCTAAAGTTAGGTAAAACACCATAAAATACAAACATGTTCAAGAAAACATTAGAGTTTAGCGTGCATAAAAACCGAAACGCCAACCTATAAGTATGACCAATCGCCCATACAAATGCATCGCTTAAATATTTTCCGTTCGCGTTTAAGTTGTGAAAAACAATGCAAGCTTAAACTCAAAGAATGAATACATGATTGTGCGTGCTTCCTTATTTTTCTGGAAAGCATCCTTGTTACATCTTGTGTTTAGTGAATAAGAAATGAAGTGTATGCAATTCAGTGTTGTTGAGAAACTTGAAGAAATTTGGAAAATTGAAAAAGTGGCCATTTTCTTGAAATATCAGCATTTCCATTGATCTGTTATCAGGTTTACCAAAAGAATATAAAGTAACGATGCTTTCCTGAAAAAAGCAAGGCGATAAACAAATGCCTTCATACTTTATTCTGCAGCAGAAAATAACATGTGTAATATACTATGGTGTACTATAATTATATTGACAAACACATTTTAATAATTTCATCTCCTTTACATCTTTAGTTCAATACTTAGTTCAATACCTTCTTAGATACAGAATTTTTTCAAAAATGTTTTCTTGAACCATCACCTGAAACGTTTGACTTGCCAATATTTTGCTTTTATACTACAAAGTAGCTTGTTATACGTTTGCAAGCGTTGTGATTTTCGATGTTTATAATTAGTCATTAATTAATGAAAAATACACTAACTGCGACAATAGGATTATAGTTTAGCCATGTTCATCCAAGTAAAGTATAAGAACTACATTTATAAGTTGTTTTGACACCTGAGCAGTGTAGCCTAGGTGGTTAGAGACTGTGGTCGTGCGTACGGAGGGATACAAGGTCCCGCGTTCGAGCCCCGGGTACGGCGTTGAAGATAATAGTCCTACAGGACACTCGGTCCGAAGGTCCAACCGTTTACCGGCCCTTGGCATGGGTTGGTTCTCTGACTGCTCTTGTCGGGGACAGATTGTGAGACTGTGGTTGGTTCCTCCACTGACGGGCTATAGGAGACGCCGGGAGTCATACAGTATGGTAGCGAGCCCCCACCAAGGGCAGTAGTGGAACGACGCGAATCGGTCCCAGTATGGTTGCTTGCAACTGAAGAGACTCGAGGAAATCATGCCATTCGCAGTGACCCAGAAAAGACTTTTGCTTCTTGATACAATCATCGCTTATTTATTTATTGAATTAAAATAAAGAAATAAACGTTAAATATAATAATTATCTGAAGTAGACTAATTAGCGCTTGTTTTGTATGCGCGCTATACACATTACTGCATTGATTCATTGACTGCGTTCACGGTTGTGTTGTGAATAACATCGCTAGCTTAGTCTCCATTATTTGAGAAAAGTAGAGTTACTTGTAGAACATTACTTTCTGTTGGAAAGAGTGGAGTTGGGCAGAGATATATATGTTCCAATAATTCAAACTTGAAATGCATTTTTCAAGACGGCCTTGGCGTTCCATTTTCTATCAAGGTGCCCTTCTCAACTTGAAATCTAGGATCCCTTCTGCTTATACTGGCAAAACTGCCCAGCTAAGTCTCTGAATTATATAACATTTCATCTGAAGAGAATATGTTATTTAGTTTACTCTACATTATACAGTGTGTCTCAAAAAAATGTTACACTTACAAAAAGTTCAATATCTTTCATGATTTTGACTTTCCCCCTAAAATATACTTAGATACCAAAAGACCAGCCTTTCCCGAATAAATCCACACCATCAGATTCAAAATCCGTCCATGATTGGCTGCACAGGACAGATTTTATACACGCCTGTGAAATCTGATTTGCGCCAACTTCTCACTGGTTGGACATGCATTGTAATACCATACTGATTGGTCTACAAAATGGCTCTAATTGTTCAATTATTTTTTGGTGTGAATGCTGTGGACAGTGATATCTTGATATGATCAATGATCCAGTTGTTTCTTTCCTGGATAGAAATACAATATTTCATTGTCAAAGGTTCAATTTCGTTATGTATGATGGCAACAGGATGGTGCAAAGGCCTGTGGGAGATCACTTGGTAGAACTCTTTGGAAATCAGAAAGTAGCATTGAATTACCCAATTGATTGGCCCCCAGGGTCATCACACTTTACACCCTTGATATTTTGAAGGGCCTCTGAAAGCGCTTAACAGCATCACAAACTGACCTAAATGAACTTCTACAAAAATAATTAATGGAATCAGTATGGTATTACAATGCATGTTCGCATAGGCAAGGGTACCTCAGATTTGCTTTCACATTCAACATGTTGAGGGGACCACATGTTTATGTGGATAGACCCAATAACCATATGTAAGACAAATAGGAAAATTACAGAATGACTCAATTAAAGGTCAAGCTTCTGCTCAGAAGAAAGTTAAATGTTCAAGAAACAGTTCTTCTTTTGTCATTTGGTCAATCCAATCAATTAGAAGTTGGCGCAAGTCAGATTTTACTCTGTGACACTAAAAGCTGTCCTGTGGAGCCAATCAAGAACGGATTTTGAATCTGATGGTGTCAAATTATTCGAGAAAGATTTGTCTTCTGGTATCCAAAGTATATTTTAGGGGAAAAGTCAAAATTATGAAAGATATTGAACTTTTTGTAAGTGTAACATTTTTTTTGAGACACTGTATGTATATCTGGGGGTTGCATGTTCAAAATTTTGGGCATTTTATCGGCTTATCTGTTGACCCGAGTATGTCTGTTCTTGGGCTTCCATTCCAACATAACACAACATATATTAGGAGTATTTCTTGTTTATTTTATTATGGCTTGAAATAAATGAAGGATTCCAAACTACATCATGCTTTCATTGCTGTATTTGCACAATACATCTAACAAATGCAGAAAAGGCCTTATTTTTGTGGTGACTGCACCATCTATAAATTATTATTCCTAATTTAATATTTATTTGGACTAATACATTTGCAAATTATGCAAAAAATCGTATGTTGACAGATTTTTATGACAATAATACTTTTTGGAAACACAATGTTGATATTTCACAAAAGAAGATGTTCAAAACAATATTGATATTTCACATAAGAAGAAGACATTCAGAACAATGTTAATGTTTAAGAAAATACCTCTTTGCCCTCTTATATTTCAAAATGAATCTCATGGCCACAAATTATTTACAATACAGGATGAAAATGTAATAAATATGCAATATTTACAATTTATACAATGTGACTTTATATGATAATTATAAAGTTTGCAGAGTGGCTTTTATGGATTTCTCACTCATCACCATGACAACAAATGTGGTGTTTACTGTACACTTACTGTACACTATTTACATCTTAATTATAACAACTAATAAATATAAACTTCATAAATACAAAAAATAACTTATATAACTGAATCTGTTTTTTCAGTACTTTTTGAAATGTTTTGACAACCAATACAATATTACAATTACATATCTGTCTGCACTTATTTTAATGCGTTCCTGAAATCTCTCAACAATTTCGTTTTAATGAAAAATGCACCATATTTATAGAAGTTCGAGCTTGCATATAATACTAAAAGAACTAAAAGAAACAAGGTCCCACACAAGGTCAAATTATGAAATCAGAGTCAAAATTATGACATCGGGTCTAATTATGACATCGGGTCTAATTATGACATCATTTTATTAACTGAAAAGTCAATTTTATGTGATATATATTGCACATTTAACAAAAAGTAATCATAAAATCATAAATAATCAACACAAATGTAGAATTAAAATTGTGGATTGGTTGCTATTGAACTATTATTACTAAAAGGAAACACAATACTCGAATACTCGTTAAAATAAAATTAATATTGCAGTCTCGTTTTGATGACTTGGGTGTAAACAATCCTAAAATATAAGACAAGCTAAATTCAGTTTTAAGAATGTCATGGGGTTGTCATTGAATGTCCTGAACATTGAAATGAAGTAAATCGTGTATGGCCATGCTTTAATCATATATAAATCAAAACACAATGTCTAGAAATCGTGATTTAAGTACGATCATACAAAAAATAGTTACGAAAATTCATGTACATTTCACTACTCCTCATACCTCATATAGCTTAATATAAAAATTCCATTGAAAATAAATTACTTTAGATTTTTGGTCTACAAAATGGCTCTAATTGTTCAAAATGTTCAAACTATAAATTTTCCATCTACACAGCCTCATATTTTACATATTACTCCTCAGCACCATTTAACTAGTAATCCGGATCACAAAAACTTAAGACATTCATGTAACGCTTAAAATGACCCCGATTGCTCAACTGGTGATTCAACGATTTAAGTCAGTAAAACGGTTTTCACGGTAAATTGATTTAGAGATTGCTGTACTTGTACATAGATCTGTATATACAGGGTGGTCCAGAAAATCATTTACATCTTTGATTACATAGAGATAACAGAGGTCCTACACTGTTTACTAGAGATTAATGCATGAAACGTTTCTTACTCCAGCTTTTTTTTTTATTTTGAACTGATAAAAAAGAGCACTTATTTTAGGTAAAGTGACACATCAAAGTCAGACATTCATTTTACTTTTCACCTTTTGACTTTATGCTTTATGACTGTTTATCGCAATATCCATTCCAATAAAATGGGTCTTATGTTTGTACATATACATTTATATAATGTACATTGGCAGTACTGATAATTGATTAACTACTTAACAGGAACTACTTTTATATTCTCCGTTCTCAGTGATGGACAGCTGTGTTTTAAGCGGGCTCGACAGCCCATTCTTTGAATGTAACTGATATCTGTCTTTTAATTGGTTTAGAGCTGTCAGCAACCTTTGATTGGTCGCATCAAGAGTCTGTATTCGTTTCTCCTGGATTTCTAAAGTTCGTTGTTTCTGGGAAACCACACTTCTCAATTCTGTCTGTTCTTTTTTCAAATTTTCTTCAACTGTAACTAACCTGGAAAATATGAATTAAAATTGATTGATTTATATGGTGACCTAAATACAACTATTTCCCTCATTATCTTATACGCAATCAGGGCCAGTAAGGGCCGTTAAGAAAGGGGACCATAATCCCTGGGGGACCATCATTTCTTTCACACTGAATCATGGCATTTATGTGAATGTTAAAGGAAAAAACAACTGTCCACTTTTTTCTGGTCACCCTGTATTTGTCATACACATTTGAGCAAAGTGACCTTTGTAATTAGATTGTGTATCAGTCATACAAAATACAACAAGTCTATTTTAATTTAAATATCAACATGGTTAATGCATTTACTAAAGCCACAACTACCATGTCATTCATATTATACATACATTTGTCAGACAGGTGCCTGTTTTCTTTTGTTATATTAAATTCACTCTTATTTAAATCAAGTTAAGCTAGATCTGCATCATGAGAATTTTTATGTATTTTTAATGAATGCAACTGCCAGTATTTAATGAAATACTGTAGGTTAAAAGTAGGTTAGCAAGGCTAATGGAAGAAACACTAGAAAACACGATCTTCTAACTAACCTTTGAATAAGAGATTTCATCTCTCGATCTTTCTCTTCCTGTTTCTTTGACATTTCCGCCAAAGTATCATTTAGTTTATGCTGCCATCTATTATTCAATTCAAGTTCTTTTTCGGCGTAGAATTTTTTCGTTTCCTGTATCTGGCTATGGGTGCTATCTAGTTGTTTCTTAAGTGTCGTGATTTCTTGCTCATACTAGAAGTCAATAAATTAATTTAATTACAAAATCAAATGATAAATTCAAAATAAATCATTCAATCAATAGTTTTTTATTCCTTTTTCAAATACATTTTGATGTGTTAGTTTAAAATCATGGCAAATTAACTGACGATAAAACAAACAAGGTACACTTATATAACAATTGCAACAACATTTATCTTACATTGAACAAACAATGACAATTTAAACAATGACAATTTAAACAATTACAATACTGTTAACATGTTGACATTGTATAGGGTCATTTACTGTTTAACTTTATAATGTTAAGTTAGCATAAACATCAGTTACATTTTAGTTTAATGAAACAAAATTAACGCATTATTAATTGATATATATTATTAAAGCTTTTTTTACCTATAACCCTCAACCCATCTTAAAATGACCTAAAATCTTGCCTTAATGTTTCTCCAAAATATAATTTCCATTTTTTAATATTTATTCACAAGGCATGACTTTAGACAACAGTGTCAAGATATAGGGACAGAAAATATTCTAGCATAGTAAGAGCATTCAATATACAGTTAGCAAGTGTAACACAGGCCTTGAGTTCATTGATTTTCTCCCTATATCATGACACGTATAACTTTAGATCCAACTGAAATGAGCATTGTAGAAACACCCATACCATTAGAGAGTGATTATCATGTAAGTGCAGAGAAAACTGTGAATAAACATCAATTTTGTAAAGAGTTATCATGCTTCATATGATATCTTGTATATTGTAAAAGCTATAATGCTGCCATCTTTGTAAGTTGGACCGAAGCATTTGCTTAATTATTTTGTTACAGTGTAAATTATTCAGACCATGCAGTTTATTTCAAGTGCTTATTCGCAGCATATTTGTGTCATATGAGTGGTCAAATCGCATCATGCGTGACTCATTCATGAAAATTGTGACATATTTGTGTTAAGTGTGACCAAGTTCAAGCATATAATGTCAAAATAAACAACAATATCTTTAAACAGAAATTGTAAATTCCCAGAACATTCAAATATGGTATATAAAATAAATAAAAAACAAAATTAAAAGTAACAAAGATAGAGTTTTTTACAAGTCAAATATTGTTCCTCAAAAGCAGGATTAATAAATGTAAATAAATTAAAACGAACTATTATTTCGCATTCAATAATAGAACTTAAACTAAAATCAAATGAATTAAATATCAACATCTGAATTTTTGTTTCTTATACTAGCCTTTATATTTTCACCAAATGCCTTTAAATTTGCTGCATTAAATTGTAAAAAATATTTTGAGAATATAATCTAAGGCAGCTTGTACCATTTGAGGTAAAGGTGCAAATGCAGAAGGAAATCTATAATAAGGTACATTATACTATAAAATCAGGTAAAATGAGACCAACTAAAATCAAAATATGGTTAACTTAATATTTGGTCAAATAGGGTGATTGCTGTCAGCATTTAGTCTCACCCAAGACATCTATTTACTTAAAATGTTAGTAACTATCATAATTTAATAAACATAATGATAATACAAATCAATTTATTCCTTTGTAATATGAAGACCAATGAATCAGATTTTCCATTGATGATATAACAATAGACCCAGGGAAATAAGACATTAGATGGTCCCTTGAATGACTAGCATGTCACACAAATGGGCCCCTTGAGTGATAAGCGGGCCATGTGCAATCAAAAACAGAAAATCTTGAGTTTGTTTAGTGATTCAAAATGGTGATCAACCAAGCAATAAAACACAATCCAAGTGCCGTTTTTTAAGCTAGCAGCATCAAACCAAGTGCTGTGATCGCCAAATATTATGCAACATATTTTTGGAATTAGAAAAATTAAAGACGCATGTTCGAATTACACGAGCTTAAATAGACAGGGTAGATTATAAGATTATCATTAGGAGCAGCTCTTCAAAATAGGAGTTTCCACAAAGCAAGATGGCGGCTTGTGAGGTGCTCAACTTACGTTGTACTGCGAACATTCTCGTATTAGTAAGTCTAGTTCAAACTCACGCTCCTAGTAAAGAAAGGGTTAATATGACAACGAGCTTGACAAGGGTTAATATATGGGGAAGTGGTTTGGTGACACTAAGGGAGATAAAATGATAAATATGAATTATGGCTTGTCCTCTATGCAAAATGAGGTAAATCTCTGTGTTTATAAATGTCAGGAAAATGGTTTTGGTAAAAAGATGAATTAAAAAAAAAAGTCAAACTCTTTTGTATGTACAGCCCAAAAAATAATGATGAAAAAATAGGTGATGATAAAAAATAAGTAGGTGTAGACTTCTATCTAATTTGTGTTCATCAAACATCAGCCTACATGTAAGACAAATTACAAACACTAAAGTAGTCCACACTAGGTCAGATATCACATTCAATACAGGTCCTACATACAGTTATAGGGTAGCCTCCTATCACCACAATGTTTCACATGGAATCCAATGGGGGATCTTGTACATTTTTAGCAATTTATAGCCCTGGATAGTTTAGTCAATAGTTTAGGGATTATTTGGAATTAAATAGTTAGTTATTCAGGAAATGTAGACAAAGAATTTGCAAATTATTTTTCATGGAGTCATTTCTCAAAACTACCATGGTTCATTGTTTGGAAGATTTTTCAGGGGTTTCATTCACAACAGGCAATTTTCTCCAGTTCATTTTGCCCAAATTGCCTATAATTTTGAGAAGTTTAACCATCTATAATAATTTCCAATAAGGTTTCCCTCTGTTGTTTCATTCATTTTACTTATTGTCAAAAAATCTAATGAAATCCCTGATCGTTTGAATGACATGGGGAACATTTGAATTCATGAATAATTATGAACCATAATTCTTTTGAGAAATGTCCTCCAAAAAGTTAGTAACCAACCACGGAGGATTATTAAATATTTTTGTGTGATCGAATATGTTTTCGAAAAATCATTTTAATAATAATAGGACTGCATAAATGGGTCGCTGAAATATATTTACTATAGAAAAGGCTTGTGCTAGGGAAATGACCAATGGCTGGGGAAATTGTTTCAACTTTTTAACAGGAGATAGAAAAAAGACCCAAGCTGACTGCGGTATCGACAAGCATGCTACGATTTGTACAAAACTGTCACTTGGGATGCTTAATTGACAATACCCTCCACATAACAGTCTCCTTAACCTCATGCTTTCTCCCAGCCACCAATTTTTAAAATATACTGGTGCCATGATCAAAATATTTTCAGAAATTTTTAATTCTTTCAATCTTTAAATTAAAAAAGATAGCTACCAGTTGATTTTAAAAGTAACTGTCCATGTTAGGTATTAGTCACTTAAGCAACCACAGAGCGAAATAATATCTCTACCGAAATGATGACAATCGCCATGCATTATAGGGGGCGGTGCAGTCAATGTTACAGCGAAGTTTCATGCTGGAAATGCACGCTGACCTTTGACCTCAAAATGGCTTCCGCCTAGAGAAACAAGCGGAATAGATATTCAGTGAAAATTCAAATTCTTACACTAACTACTTGTATTGAATCAGATGCATGGATCTTAATTAGCATTTACAAATACATACATGGATGTTTTTAGATGCGAACAAAACATACAACAAAATGTCAGTAATAATTATAATGCTATGATTCTGACATAAATGGGCAGTGTGTTAATATGTGATGATCCCTACTGATTTCTTTAGTAAATCAACTAGCTAAATTGTTATATATCCCGTAACCATTATGCATTGATGCTTTTTTAATCATGCCATTAAATATGATAACAGATTGGGTATCTGAATGCAAAACCGCTCATTGTAAACTAAACTACGTTCAAAATGATGTGCTTCAATTTTGCAAATAACATACCTCGATATTTGTCTTTTCCTTTTCTTTGATTTTGCGTTGAACTGAGCTGACACCCATTCTGACTGGAGCCGAGCCTCTCCTACTTGGCCCATAGGTGGCGTAATGGGGGCTATCAGGGGGTGTGGATGTCCTCAGAGGAACTGGGGGTGTTTGGAGCTTTATTCGAGCTTGAGATATGGCGCTATCCGTCGCTGTACGTCGTATCCTCTCAATACTTCTCTGGCGTCGGAAATGGGAAAAATCTGCACTTCGAGATAATTCACTAGCTTTTAAGGAGTTATCAAATCTTGGAAGTCCATTGGAATCAAACAATGTTTCACTAATGTCAGCTTGTCGTGAGCTACTCCTAGTCGGGAGATTATTGTCTTTGGGGGTGGGGGAAGGGGAGGGGAAGAACTCCTTTTGGGTAGGAGACTGAGGGGTGAAAAAATCCTTGGGGGTGGGGGATTGAGAGGTGAAACTAGTGCTGTTGGTCCTAGATGAGGGAGAAGGGGGTGTGGTGTACGAAGAACTACTGCTACTTCTGTGTATTGGTGACTGGGGGGTCGTACAACCCCTATGTGTGGGTGACAAGGGAGTAAATGTTCCATTCGTTGACCCAGAGGTTGGACCCTGTAGTGTAAATGTACGTGTACTTGTGACAGTGTTTGTGCACGGACTCCCTACGCTACCATGACTACTAGTCCGAGAGTTTGTACTCCTAGGAGAAGATAAGGACTCGCTACTACTCGACATATTCTTTAATCCGGCATTTTTCTCTGTTTTAGGACTAGAAGTTTTCAAATTTGAAGATGCACCATTTGAATGTCCGGTTGATTGCACTGTGATAACACCCTTAGTTCCTCCAGATTGAGATCTACTCATACTATTATTGGCCTGGAGTCTGAACAAGGGGTTAGCAAACTGTAAGGGCTGGGTAAGCTGACCAGGGGTACTTGTACAGGGTGATTTGGGGCCGTCCTGGGCTATAGGCTCGACAGGGGAACTGGATTGGCTGTAACCAAAGGATTGATACCCCGATGAGGCTATTCCTGATAACTGACTAATAGACCCCTGGCTGCCTTTAAGATTTTGTTCTATCTCCATTGATGAATTCTGCATTTCTTCTTGTATATCATCCATGCTATGGATATCATCCATAAAGTTTATCAGATCTACGTAATCTCCATTAACAAGTTCGGCTGCACTAACCATGTCTTTCCATGACTTGTGAACTTCCTCGACCCGTGGTGCCGTACTCCTGACATCGAGTCTCGCGTCAGTGTCATCTGACGTTGGTGTCACCTCATTAGAGGCACTTCCAACTGAAAAGTCAACTGAAGATTCATCCAAGGAAGGGAATTTCCCATAATCCTCAGAAAAGTCTCGTCCAGATCGTTTACTTAAAGAACCCATACCATAATTATGTATGATATCTGAACTATTGTCTAATGATGCATTCTGGGATTGTGATGAAGTATCATCATGGGACAGAGATACACTCCTTGAACCCCCTTCATCATAGTCTTGAAGTATATTTATCATGTCCTCTTCAGTTTTAGTCAATAAGTTTAATGCGCAGTCCAACTGCGGCAGATTGTCATAGATCTGAGTGTTGATTGGTTTACGTTTCGTCACACTCGGGTTTGCCTGCGCTTCACTAAGGTTTGACAAGATTTTCGGCAGTTTCCCTAATTTCAATATTGCACTCTGAAAGCAAGATGTTTTGACATACAATTTTATTATAGATACTATAGGTCCAAAATGAATGAAACATTCACTAAAACTTTCATCAAACGAAATAGTTTTCTGCTCTTCAATTATCAGGTATCATTATACCCTAGATTAAAATACCATGACATTTATTGAAACCATGAAATAACATAAACTTAATCTGTATCTAGTACTTAAATATACATGTATAGATTTAATTTGTCTTATGCTTTTTGATATTGGCTTTGCATTTCCTTATAGCAATGTTCTTAAATTACCGAGTTCGATAAAATTGAAACTTTTGAAAACTGAAACGAGAGACTTTCTCATGGTCAAGCACAATTATGATTATGATATTATGATCTATTTTGAAATACGAAAAAACATATTTAGTCTTTGGGATTCATTTGAAATTGATGCTAGCATTTGTATTTAATCTTCAAATGTTCATACCTCACTTAGTTTCTCCATGCTCTCTAGCAGTAAAGAGTGGAGAATAGACAGCTCTTTACCAAGATCTATGTAGCCATCAAATTCTGTAAACTTAGCGTTGTTTTCAGATGTCTGGAAAATAAAATGAATATTATTAGCAAAAGTTTCTGGAACTGATCTGTCTATTGGATAAACTTGTATACAGGTACTAACAAGACCTCAACATACTATGAGCATTTTAGGATCTGCATTTAGCTGATCATACAGCTCAGTATGTAAATACATATAGTCCCAATCTCCATTCCTCTGAGCTATGATACCACCCAAGCATACTCACTTTATCATGAGGTCTAGTTTGTGTTCTAGTGTAAATTGGAAATATAAATTGAAGACAAAATAACACTGGTCCTTTGTGTAATTGATCATTTTTGATTTCTGTTTTTGAACAGTGTAGATAAGATGCAACGGTCATTAGGCTGAACTTACAGAGATTTGCTTGAGGAAGTTCTTCATACTGGTCCATTCCCGCTCAACAAACTCATTCATAAAGTTCATATACTCTTCTTTGGCACCAAACCTAGAAAACAACAGAAAAATTCTTAAAGTTTCTCTTAATACCATCTTTGGTTTTATATTATAGTATGATTAAATACATTCAAAAGCAGTATGCATTGGTTTTACTGCACTTCTGACATAGCTAAAACATTCTGTAGTAAAGTGCTGGCATATGTACTAGTGTATTTCATAATCATGACATATTAAAGTGGATTCTTAATTAGATGTTAACTTTTAAAGTACAATGCAAATATTAAAAAATCACCAAGTGAATAAATACATCTACAGTCACTTACTTCGTAAAGTTCGCAAGAGTCTGTGTAGTTTTGGCAATAAGGGTAAGATTTCTGGCCGCTTTCTCGCTGGGGTATTCTTGGGTGAGCCCAAACAGACTGGGGGACAGAATCGCGGGGCACAGGAAGCGGAGAAAGATGGAGGAGCTGATAAGATTGTCGCTTGTGTCTTCCCGTTTTAATTCTTCACAGCGTATCCTGAATCTTGAGAATACTTCACGTAGCTCACTGGAAATGAAAGAATACAAAGTGCGATATTAGTATTATAGGTTCACAGCCCTAGACTGTAAGTATTCCAAGCAACATATTAGTGGAGGTTATGAATAATAGATGGCAGTGGTGTGTGACAGTGACATGTGGTTTGTTATTTACTTCCCGGTCCCTATGTTTTTTGTAAATTTTGTTCATACAAATATTTCTCTTTAAAGATTGAACACTTATGTTTACAATTCGACCAGCTGAATTTTATGCAATCTACTTTTAGCCAACATTTCACACTACAAAACTGATAGTCGTTATAATTTAATTTTAATCCAGCCGTACCATCAAAACAGCCCCTGTATTCACGTGTACACCCTGCAAAATATAGGAGGGGGAGGCAGAGATCTGAAGTAAACACTTACTTTGGGAAATAGCAGTAAGAGTTGATGATCTTAAACCAGGCCATCTCACAGTACATGGTAAGATTGGTCTGGTGTCTTTGGAGAGTTCCGTTGTTGCCAACTTTGGTTGGGTCAACTTCACAGTCATCAGGTGACTCTGTTAATGTGGTTATGAAGTGACCAACGGTATCTTGTAAATACTGGAATGTAACAATAGACAATGTACTATACTGGTCAATGCACATGGTAAGATTGGTCTGGTGTCTTTGGAGAGTTCCGTTGTTGCCAACTTTGGTTGGGTCAACTTCACAGTCATCAGGTGACTCTGTTAATGTAGTTATGAAGTGACCAAGGGTATCTTGTAAATACTGGAATGTAACAATAGACAATGTACTATACTGGTCAATGCACATGGTAAGATTGGTCTGGTGTCCTTTATGGGTCCTTTTATTGGCATCTTTGGTTTCTCAGGTTAAAAATCTCCAGGGAAATACCAGTGATAGCGTTACCATTTATACTTCCAAAAACATTTCTTAGAGGCAGTAGGGAAAATAATTGAACAATACTTTTAGATATTATGCAACACATCCTAGTTTATACTAAATAGTTAGCCAAAATCATTTTTTAGCAGAAAAACAAACTTTTTTACCTTTTCACCGACTAGTTTCATGTAGGCTTCCATTGCCTTGGATGCGATACTGTTCCCCCTGAATGTCAGGTTTTCGTTGTCTTGACGACCAACTTCACGCATGACAACATCAGCAAGGAAATCTTTGGCACGATTGGATTTTTGCATGATATGTACAAGGGCAGTGGCAATATCCTCTTTGGATTTGACACTAACAGTGGGCTCTAGTACCTCTGTTAGACCGATATATTCTTCAAGTAGATACTGAAACAAGATATAATAATAATATTCAGCTGTGTTGTTTTTAGTTTTCTACATTTACTGCATTCAAAAAGAATCACTGATAAAAATTACTTGCAGACATAATGAGAATATACTATACTTTCATTTTTGGAAACAGATTAAAGGATTTTAAAAACTAAGCTGTATACAAAGTACACTTCATTTTTTCTTAACCACAACGAAATGCACACTACTATACCTAACACCTAGAAATACATAAGATGCTTTGTTAGTCCAATTGAATTGGTAAGTATATTTTTGCAAGTACCTTATTAACATCTAACTTTCAACCGATAAACCATTAATAAGGAACAGACAAATAAAACAAAATACATAATCATTACTAAAAAGCTAAATGGATTGCTCATGAACACCAAATGCAAGGTATAGTAGAGTGAATGTGATAACTGATAAATTACAGAAAAACTTGTAGAGTGAAACACCTGTACGTAGAGCATATCAGAAAATGCAACACTTTTCAAAGTCCCATGATCAAATGACTTAAAGTTAAATGTACCTCTATAAATGGAACACCTCCCATGTGGAACACTTCAGAGGTACTAAAGGTGTTCCACTTACACAGGTTTTACTTAAAGATATGAACGCAATAATGAGAATATCTTACATTACTGAGATCTTGGTATAACTCCATTGGGAGAATGTGCACTGTCTGGTACCGCGCCTTCACCCTCATCAGGGGCAATTCGGCCTTACTCTCACGTCCAGCTTTACCCACAACTGCAGATGAGCAGGGGTGCCACTTCTCCGTGAATGTACGATTTGTGATCTCAGATACATTGATGTTAATATATCCTGAAATAGTGAGGATAACTAATTAACTTTTTTATTTCAGGTAAAATACATTATACTTGAAGTTACATTGTGCAACAGTGTAGTGGTCATTTTGTATGATTGAGTATTACAGTCTGATGCAAATTACCAAAAATTCTAATCAGTTTGTATGATAGAGTATTACAGTCTGATGCAAATTACCAAAAATTCTAATCAGTTTGTATGATAGAGTATTACAGTCTGATGCAAATTACAAAAAATATAAATATGTGCTTCTTTGAAACAAAGACTTATGTAGTACTTGCTTACCAATGAGCTGATTTTTATCTTTCTTTTTCTTTTTATCGGCTTCCCTGTATAAATTCACTGTGATAGCATCAATGGCAGGAAGGTTACTGAAAAATACAAAAGTTCCATAAAAGTAAGTGTTAACAAATCAGTTTGAAACAGATTACCAAGAGTAAGGAGGCAAAGTTTTCAGCATTCATCATTATGTACAATTGAACAAACACAAGGAGCATACACGTCTCAAACTCGGAACCTAATGAATACGGCGCCCATTTGCCTAGTTTGAACATGCTGGCACTCAAGCCTCTTGGCCAACTCGACAACCCCAAATAAGGATGTTTGTTAGACGATCTGACTAGGTGCAGCGGATGTTAATGCATAGATACAAATACGTCATTGTTTTTACGCACATTTTCAAGTATACATCACCAACATGGAAATAATTAACTCATGAACACTTAACATACATTTTTGTTTTCCTCATTTATTGGAACAGGAAGACTTGTGAAATATGAGAATGTACACAGAAATGTACTCAATTAATTAATGTACTTACTTAAAATCAAAGCTTTCGCCCCAGAACAGCATATCTCCCTTAGTTTTTGAAGAGGTTCTGGCATAAAGAGTCTTGTCTAATAAAATCTCACAGAAATATCTGAAAACCAAAATTATGCAAAATTATAGATTTTCCACATTTAAACATTCAGGGAAGCATTTGATTCAGATACGTCCCATTGTTTCATCATAAGGATATACCATGACTGGAAGTGAAATTTGTAACACAAATTTGTAAACTAAAATTTATCAATAATTATATGTAATAATTTCGCTCATTCATCAAGCTTTTGTAGAGTTAATTGAAACCAAAAATAATCACAGCTATTTTGAACGATGCCTTAAATCTCAACTTGTATAAATATTTAATAAAAAACTCACCTTTTTTTGGACGGGATATTTTTAGCCTCCAGCACCCACATTTTGAGAGAATTGTCTGTTCGTCTTGACTGCTCTTGATCTGGATGAACTGTTTTTCGTAGACTGCAAACAATGAAAAACATGAATAAAAACCTTTATTATCTATTATTTCATATACATGAACTTTGTACTTTCATATTCAATGTTAGTACTCACCGAAATATTGCTCTCCCTGTGAGTTCACATGTATAACTTTTTAAATTTAAAGATTTTGTCTTTTTGCGATTGAAGCGAAGAAATAATTTTCGAACCATGTTTGTCCAACATAGGCAGTTGAGTCAAAATCTTTTGTTTTATATCATAATAAGTCTATAAGACCTTATTGAGTTCGCGTAAACTTTTCAACTGAGGAAGAACTAGTTTTTCAGATTTTATATCTGAATGTCTTCTGATAGTGACGAAAATGACAAATCTGTTTCCTGATACAAGACGTTGCCAACATTTCTGAGTCAATGAAAACAATAGTATTATTATGCACTCGCATTACCGGGTTTTCTCTCTAATCAATGACTTTGTTGATCAAAACTAATCCAATCTTTCCACTTCTAAATGTCTCAAATAGTCCACATTTATAGGTCCCGTTAATGTTGCCAGGTTGCCATCATTTCAAAACTGAATGGTTTCAGTTAAATTCAAATTTACTTCCAGATATCCCCTGCACATAATTTCACACACTTTAGAAAGTAATGCACTTATAATTTAATAAAGAAACTGAAATTGTTCAAGTACAGGTATAATATGTAATTTTGATTTTGATCTCAGTATATATGAGTAAATTACAGGAGGAAAGGTACAGGTATACTTTATAATAATGACTATATAGAGCATTGATGACATTTCATATGAGGAAAACAAATCTTTGACCAAGCTGTCCAAAATGAGAATTTTAATTCCAGTCTCAGAAGTGACACCCAGTTGACAATGACAATGACATGGGAACTTGAATAAGGACGACTCCTCTCATCGTTTAAATGACTACATACCACCTGTATAATTCAAGCCCTACAGGCCGAAACAATAAAATCAAACTCCACAATACAAATCATTACAATTTAATTACAATCTACATTATATCTATTTGCTTTATTAATATTTGATATATCCATATCGCAGGGCCAATGTTTCTAAAAGGTAGCCCTGATGATGGATAACAATTTTTTTTCAAGATCATTTCTTTCATTTTTGACCCTATGTAATTTATCAAATTCTGGTTGTTGATTTGGAAATTGACCTCATTCGTGAAAATAAACAATCTGGACTATTATGGTCAAAAATGGTTAAAGGTTCTGGGAAAAATACACCATTTGCTTCCACTAAATTGAATTAATTGGTGAACCATTTTAAAACCACAAATGTGGAAAGGCCATTCTCATTTTCTCATAGAATACTATTTACATAAACAGACCTTTTCCAGTCCCCTTGGATCAGAATTTCTGAATTCTCGTATCATACACATTTTTAATTTTTACTTCGAAACAGTATACCTCAGGGGTACTTAAAACAATTTAAACAATTTAAATAATGAAGACATAATTATGCAAAAATGCTAAAAAAATCTTAATTGGTTTGCTCAATTTCTCAATAACATGCCTTCAAGCTCGTCAAATGTCTTCATCGATGAAGACCACATATATACTATATATATTAATGTTTTTCAAACAGTCTCAATCTTACTTTTGGAGAGTTTAATACGGACATGTTAGGATGTGCCAAGAAATAAATCTTAATCCTATTGCTCTATACTGATGGTTTTTCCCACTCATTTTGGCATCTACACTACTAGATCCCACTTTCACAGACTGTTTCTTACGTTTATTACACCTACATTTAAGAAACAGGACTTCCCACCCTGTAAATATGTCCACCCTGTAAATATGTTTTCCCACTATTGCTGTTTATATAATGTTGCAACATAACCAATTATACATGTAAATAACCTACTCAAATCTCAAATGTCAAATATTGGTACAAAAGTAATTTATTCCGGATTCCCCATGAAATGAAATTATTCTTGGCATATTCATGTAAAAAGAATTGATTTCAGGTGGCCATTAAAATTCTCTACTTAGTGACAAGACCTTGCCACATTTGGGCATTTTAGACTTAGAGTTGATCATACTTTTGAGTTGCATATTCAGTAAAACCTGTGGAAGGGAACACCCTTAAAATATAAAGTGTCCTACTCAGGGCACGCCTTAAGCGTCGGACAGCTGGTCATTATCTGGTTACTTTTGATACTGACCAGTTGATTTTGTCACTAGGTATAGGAAAATAACATTGCAACTGGTCAGTAATGCCTTTTTGACCAGCAGCTCTGGAATCCTTAGGGCATACACTGGACTCCTACTTGGGAGGTGTTCCACTTACAGAGACTCATTTGACATTAATTTCATGTGTAACTGCATGTTACATGTTACACTTGAAAAGTGTACCGCTTTACAGGTTTTTCTGCACAAATAACCCTATGCTTGGTTGCCACCAAGCAAACTCACAACAGGGGTTTCATTAGCAGCAGGCAACAGACAATTTTCAGCGGTTGTTTTCACAAAATCGCCAGTTGTTTTAGGGACTTTTCAACTTTTCCTTGTTAAATTTATGATTTCCATTAATTTTGCCAGTTGCTTTCATTTATTTTAGAAAGCCTGTTGTGAGATCAGATTAAAGTACCCATGGATCTGTATCTTACCATTCTATCCACTTTTCTCGTTCCTCAGCTGTGCGGCATGAGAAATACTTGCTGCCGTTATTTGTCGACACCTGGAAACAATGGTCCTGTCCCAGAATGCTACTGTGCAGAGGCTTGATTTCCACATCGGGTGACGTCAAGTCGACGGAGTGCATACTGTTTGGACTCGTCAGTAACGACTCATGAGAACGTGACGATCGTAACTTATTGTTGATCAGTTGCCTTTAAAACAGAAAAAACGAAAAATATGAAATCGTCCATTTTGAATTTTATCTGAATTGCGTGGGATTAGATGTACATGCTGATAAGTCTATTGTTATAAATCCAGGTTTTCCACTGCAATGAGCTCATTGTAATGTTGAAAACAGGTGTTGTATTGTAAGTTATTGACATACAATTCACCTTTAACTTATCATAGATTCAATCCATGTGCGTACATAGAAACATTTAAATAATCCATGAATCAAGTTCACCCATCAAAAATATCCAAATGGTCATACATGTATATGTTTTCCATTTTTTCTCAAAGACCTATATAAATGTGATGATATTCTTTACTATTATTCTCATTGACCTAATCGACTTAATCTGAATTTTATGAGATTGTTGATTGTATACCTGATCTATCTCTAGCTCTCTAATTCCACTCTTTTTGACTGAACTTTGTGGAGAAAAGCAAGACTCCTAATCTCGTGATAATATTTGGGAGCGAATTACAAATATGATTGTAACAACATGACTTATATCACTACTTAATTAAAGCCATTAATAAATAAAATAGTACCCTTATCCTCTAGAAATTGTTAACCACATTTGTGTCATTCAATTACTAACTGGAGACATGCAATTTTTCAACATCCTGATTTACAAGGTTTTACTTGTTCCAACATCACATTTAAAAGCAATTCAGTATATAGTAGGAAAGCATAGGCTTTAAAGAAGACAAGAAGCATTTGTTATATCAACTAGGAAAGCTGAACATTTTGAAAAATTAGCATAGTTTCAGACCTGTTTTCTACAATATATCTCCACCTTCCCTTAATAAAGTCTTCATTGCATGGGCACCATACTGAGTTTGGAGATTTGCTTTTTCCAAGTGTCTAACTGTAACATTCTGATACTCAAAGCATCTTTCTATTTCACCTGAAGCACTCGGCTGAGTACCCTTTGCATTCGTTTGACTTCACTTCTTAAAAGAGAGCTTCGTCTTCACTCTTTCAAACTAAAATAAACCTGTGAAGTCACCGTGCCAATCAGTGTTCGTCGGCCAAATTTGACCGACGTTCTATATATGGTCATTCCTTCTGACGTCATCGTTGAGCCCGGATTTGACCAATGACATGCACATATTTAATTAGCACGCATTTGGCGTATGTTTCTTCAAGCTCGCTGATTGTTGGAAGAAAGGTCAGCGCGTTGGTCAGAAGTAATTTATTACCCAAACTGACACCGGTACCCGTCGAGGGGGCGGGCTACTAAACTGTAATATGGTCTCTACTAGGCAGAGTGTAGTTTAACTAGACTCTGCGCGCAGGGTATCGGCTGAGAAGAAATGAGACGTATGGTTTAGCATGATGAGTGCCCAAGAGCTTCCAAAAAGATTTAATCGATAAATGGAGCTGTCAGCTTTCACATGTCATATCTGCCCATGCTACTTATAGAACAAGATGGCTAAAAGGACCCTACTGGTAAATTAAGTTCATGCTTCATTCAATAAGGCACCCTTCCTCATAATACACATACTTTCACAGTACTTTTATCAAAACCAAGAACCAGCTGAAAAACAGACTTACTCTATTCCATATATCCCGGTGTACAATCCTACGTGTTTCGTATTCCACAATGAATCATTCACTTATCTAGCTACACTTGCAAAGCCCCTTAGCCTTCTTATATCATCCTATTATTATTCTTTTTGACAGATAATCCACAAATCAGCTTATAAAGCACTTATCATCAATATCTTGACCTAGTATGTTAGTACATTTGTATGTTATTCAATTCTAGTTAAATGACATATCTGCAATGTTTCATTGTTGTTTTTTACATTGTGTTTTACCTGAGGTAATTAATTAAGTCTCGTTTACATAGCACATGTACATCAGAATAGTTAGGTATGTACTAAGAACAATTAGTGCAATAAAAACACATGTTCATCATTCTCAACAAGTGCATTATACATATGTTTAGGTATGTTTTAACAATTGGCTGTTATCAAAATGAAGCAATTATCAAGAGTATTCCAATAAAAGATCAATTTCATTCATTTTTAACAAACATTAATTAGACACATAGGTTCCATTTATTCCTCAAAGGACAAAGTTCAGAGACTATATCTAGATACTTAAATCAAAGCATTTTGATGACCAATATGTAGATTTCCCTCAAAGTTAATGAACATGTAAAGCACATGCATATTTGTGGTAAGTTCACGTTTCATAAAAAGTTTTCATTTGTTAGAACACAACATTGTGTTTGTGAACATTTACGAGGGGTGATCGAAAAGTTCTGCACCATTTGTTCTAAAAATATACTTTGAACCTATAATAGAGAGTTAAGGCAAGATTGAGCAAATGTGCAATATGGATACAGATCCCAATTCCCCATGATAAAAGAATAGCTTATTAAATGTACTGACTAACCCACAATATATTTTATTGGTCTGTAACAATGAGGCAGTAAAGTTCAATTAAAATATATGTATATGTTATCAGAAACATAAATGCAATCTGCTCAGTGATACAACATGACCCAGACTCCCTTTAAAACCTTATGAAAGGTGAGTGTCAAGTTACAATGAACATAAATATGAATATATGCCTGTTTGTTGTAGCCATGCACATGTAATATCCCAGTACAATACAGTACCATGATAAGGTGTGTATCCCATTGTCTCCCCAAGGAGAAACATATGGGCAGCAAGTATCTGCCACGGGAGAAGGAACACAGACTTTTGTTAGTTAAGCAATACTAGGCTTTATGAATTCAATCCTTCCAAGCTAGATCTTGATTATAGACACCAATAGTGTTTACAAGCAATGAATAATCCTTAAATAACATTCACATATGCACAAGAAATACAAGAGATTTTTATCTTGCATTAAGCCTCTAAATTCATTTCCCTGGTTAGTTAAAAGTAGACGAAACCTTCTTTTGAGAAGCTAAATGAAATGAATGTGAAGGGTATGAATCTATATTTTCTTGTACCCAAGCCAATATATTTGATAGTGGAATATATTGATTTGTGTGAAGGAACAGACAGGGGCTTAATGCAAGATTATTTTTTATTATTTTTCCGCCAACTACCAGTGCATCCAGTTTGTAGTAAGCCTGCATGTAATACATAAAAACAAGAAAAAAAGAATTGTTAGATATAGTGTTTTTAACTACATGTATTGTATGACATTATATGTTAGTTGTTATGGTCACCGATGTGTTGTTATGGTAACCATATAGTTACTATGGTAACCCTACCATGTTCGTAAAGAATCCTTGGTCCAGCGACTGCACTCACAAGGGCTAAAAGTAAGAGACAACAAATAACAAACTAAGACGACAAAATTAGAAAAAATTAAAACTAAGTATGGTAAAATAAAACAGAAATTAGTATTTTATCTGGTCTATACAACACAATTATAACAAACGACATGTTAAAGAACAATTATAAAAGTAAATAAACATGAAATAAGAAAAAAACATTACTAGAATTACTTATCATTTTTTGAATTGAAAATGCAGCTCCAAATCCCCATGCAAAATCAACAAACCCATACACTAATATTAAATCAATTGAAAATTCTTACAAAATTTCTGTAGCCTTCTTCGTAACCATACCGACACAAATAATATTTCTTGAATTGTCCTTTTTTATCCAATGCATTTCTAATATGTAATTAATAATAAACCATTAGCAACATGAGCTTATAAACACATCTGCACATAAAATGATTCAGTTTTAATTCGAAAAAGGTGTATCGCAGTTTCATAAAAATTATTGATTTTGATTTTGTTTTGCTGGTTTAGTATCGATATTAATTTCAATCAAGTCATTGTTGATGATATAACAGACTTAAAAGCTGATTCATTATGGCAATTTGTTTTGTTCTAAAACCCTCAGGTTGTAATAATTCATCAACCTGGATTTTTACAATCCTATTTGTGACATATATGTGTTGAAATGTTTACATTCTATTTTGGTATTGGTACAATAGTTTCTAGGTCATGGATGATGGATGCTATGGTAAATCCTTTCAACCTTGCAGGGCCAGCCTCGTGTGACTAATTGATCAATAAGGGTGTTGTAAAGTTAAATTGGGGTGTGTCAAAAATGACTAATATCCAAACATGTCTAAAGTGAACATTGTTAAAAATGACTACTTTTAGTTTAACTAAAATATACAAACATCTGCTCTTATATAAAAGCAATTGTATAAACAATTATTTTCCTTTATATGCAACTTAACTATGAGTCTTAATTTCAAATCCTACGTGTAAATTCTATAAAAAGCAACACTCTCCAATTTTCAATCACTCATCAATTTGAGTGCCATTTAAATCACTAACTATTCACACAAGTCTAGCTTACACTCATATTGCCAAAAAAGCAGTTTGTCATTTGTCATAATTCCAGCAGATCTTAATTATAACATGCTAAACTCAAAGTCTTGAATCAGGTCCTAGTATACCCTTTCCCCCTAGTAGGTAGAGAAATGGCTATTAGGTGGGAGGGGGAGGTACCCGATGCAAGACCTCTGAATTCAAAGCAATTTGGAATATATTCAAAAGAGTACATAAAGATTTGCAAAATTTGTGCTTTTCCGATATTGCCCTTTGTGATTTTGACAAAAGGAATACAATGCAAGAAAGTGAGCCAAGGAATAGGCGCAGATGCATGAAGCTATTGAATGTAGTTCACACCAGTGCCTTGCATCACAAAGATATCTTTCACTTACAATTGGACTTCTCCATCGTCTTTTTTGGTTTTACGTTTGCCAAGTTTGCTCAAACTGACACTACGTTTGAGAGTCGAAACAAACCCACCACGTTTTCTAGATGAGTAAAACCATAAAATCCAGGATTTATTAATATTACATATATTATAACTTGCCTTTCAAATTTAGATTAATTTCTAAGAATCTGAATACATACTCGTACACATGCTGGGATATTTATTTATCATACTATAATTGGTAAATCTACATTTTTATAATATTCCTAGTATTTCATTGAAATAGCAATTTGCAAAAACTTTCACGAATCATGCTTTTTAATGATTATGATTATGATGATGGTTATATGTTTGAGCAAACTACTAGCATATGCTAGAAAATCTTTTGTCTTTCAATGATTAGACTATACAACGGCATGCAAATACATGTATAATGAACAAAATATTACATTTTTTCAGTTTCAGTAGTAAAAGTAGGTCAGTGGTTCTTTCATGAAGTTCAGAACTGTAAGTCTGACATACAGTTCCCCCAAAATGTATTGAAAAGTGGGGTTGTACATTAGACTTATTCAAATTTAATTACTGTATTGTGGTTTGTATTAACATATACGTTGCCTTTGATTGTTTCAACCATTGAACCACCAAGGCTTTAAGAAGGCTTGATATTCAACTATCATTTTTATATTAGTAGAAATCATGTTGATTAAAATTTAAAAAAAAAAAGTTTAGTCTTAAAGGGAAAAATTCATAATGGTAGTCTTGCATCAAGCCACTGTGCCCCATTCTCTCTCTTAAACAAATTCCAATCTGAAAAAACAGGAGAAGACCAGGTCCCGAACTTGGTGTAAGACTATCATGGGAACATGCTCAAGAACAAATAAAATGTGATGTGATATACTTACAGATTTGTTTGGGGTGATTCATGGGTTTTGACTGGTGTTTCATGGATTGTGTTTTCCTGAGTTTTTTGTCGCGTTTTTCTGGACAGTCGACCTAAGCTCATCGACCTCTTCAGTGAGAATTTGCCTCTGTTAATAACACAAAATCATAATGTAAGTCAAACAGTGATTAATTAATAATAAAGCAAATGAATTGATTTGAAATCATTAGTTAATTATTAATAGGGCTTACTTGTGAGTGACTGTGAGTATGGAAATAAAAAATATAATAAAATAGTATTTAAGTTCATATGAACGGCAAAGCACTGCAATAAATGCAACACATACACATTTAAAATGAGCAATTTTATGACACAAAATACTTAAGCCATGCAAAATATCATACAGTTTAATTTCAGCTTATTACATTTCTGGAACAATAGTACATTTAGGTATCATCTAATTATACCTTATATAATATAAGTATTAACTGTTAACCCCTTCAGAGGTAAACAGTATGATCTATTACCTTAAAAGTGGTGAATCCAAGAAGGTCAATGGCTTCTCTTCAGTCAAATTAGCCAATGATTTGGCCTTTTTTATTTTGAACATTTTATTTTTAGTACAGCCTTATCTAATCAATGTTTAAGTTATATTTTGTTTAACCAATTATACTCCAGTATGTGACTTTGCATTTCCTCGACAACTATTCAATCTCGATTGCGTCATTTTCAATTTCTGTTCACCATACATAAATGTTGCAGTAATGTAGAGACTCCTTGTATTTTTATTGCCTTGGATAAGTTATGCCTTTCCTAATATGCATCAATCACAGACTTTATCTGGATTAACTCATAGAACAATTGAACCCTTTTACTGCAGTTATCCTTAATCCATCAGAATTCAGAATTCCCTCAAAATCCTAGCTAGCACAATAAGATCCTTTTACTGTAGCTTTAATTCCACGCCAGTGTCTATGATTCCCTCAAAGTCTATCCATTTACATTTTTGTAAATACATGTACACATATAAAAGAACATGTACAAATTCCCAAACTGTTTAGCTCACAATATTGTAACATGCAATTTTGAAGTTCACTTTATGTGGATACCTCTAAGTACCTACAAGTATATAGATAGAAATGGCTTATGGGCCATGTAAACCAGCACAGAATATGCAAATTAGATAGATACATATATGCATATATATACAGATGCATATATCTACTATATATGCCAGCACAGAATATGCAAATTAGATAGATACATACATTATTATTATATGTATTTATATATATGTATGATATATATACAAGCATGGAATATGTTAATTAGATAGACTACATACATATATAGAACTACAGTAGATACATAACAATTAATTTATTAGTTAGTAGAGAATATGTTAATTAAATAACAATAATTCATGAATATCCTACATTGAGATCTATGAATATGCTTTAATTTATGAGATATGTGTGTATTGTATACATGTTATATATGTATGTATTTGTATATATCTTCTAAGCTGGTCCCCAGTCCCCAGTTCCCAGTTTGAGATATCTATATTGTTATATATAATATGTATGTATTTGTATGTATCTTTTAAGAAGGTCCCCAGTCCCCAGTTCCCAGTTTGAGATATCTTTATGCTATATATAATATGTATGTATGTATTTGTATGTATCTTCTAAGCTGGTCCCCAGTCCCCAGGTCCCAGTTTGAGATATTGCTATATATAATATGTATGTATTTGTATGTATCTTTTAAGAAGGTCCCCAGTCCCCAATTCCCAGTTTGAGATATCTATATTGTTATATATAATATGTATGTATTTGTATGTATCTTCTAAGCTGGTCCCCAGTCCCCGGTTCCCAGTTTGAGATATCTATATGCTATATATAATATGTATGCATGTATCTGTATGTATCTTTTAAGAAGGTCCCCAGTTCCCAGTTTGAGATATCTATGTTTGTGTATATTTGTATTTGTATGTATCTTCTAAGCTGGTCCCCAGTCCCCAGTTCCCATTTCGAGATCTCTATGTTAAAGTACATAAACTATTTTAAAGTTTTTAATCATTCAAGATTCATCTTGATCCATTCTCTTTTGAGTTGATAGCAATATACACTGAGGATGAATCCTATATAAAACCTCATTTAGCTGTGATTTCTTCAAAATTTAAGACAGAGAATAAATTATGGCATCTACCAAAGTTTTAGACCTTTTTCTACAACATGTGATAATATGAGTCTATTCATGCAAGTATAAGGAAAATATAGCCTGTTGCAGGGGTTCACTTGTTTGGACCACCCTGTATATTAACTTCTCTTATTACATGTTTAATGGTATAGACTGGACTGGTGTAGGTGGAAGAGTCATATAATAGTCATTAAGTTATCATCTTTACATAACACTTTAAAATCCAAGAACAGCCAGATTTTATTTAGGCAGAACTTCTATGTCTATCTGATATATAACAAAATATGTGAAAATAGAAAGATTGACCTTTTTGTTATCCTAGTCACAAGTTTAACCTTTCCATATAGACTGAAGAGTTGACATCCTGGATATTGATATGGTGAACTTTTTGAACACTCATTTCTCTTAAATCAGTTATCAAAAATTTCTAAAAATTACATATTGTCAATTTAATGGTCATCTTTTGAATGGTAACAATATAATTTGAAAAAATGTATATACTTTTCTCTATATTGTTTTAGAAAACACATCAAACATTTCTTTTGCTTCTGGTTTCATATGCTCAGAATGAAATGAAACATCTTTCCGAACCTGTTTTGAACAAAACGACTCATACACAACATGTTAAAAGGGTTCCGATTAGCATCCTGTATAAAAACAATATGGCGGCTCCAGGCGAATCAACTGGATCAGTCCATTTTTAAGAAATAAGGGGAGTTCTGTAAAATCCAGTTTATTGAAATTGTCTTTGAGATAAAGTAATCCGTTTATAATGATTTTGAAAACGTTATCCAAAGAGTGATTGCATTCAAATAATACATGTACAACAGCCAATATAAATTCTTGTATTAGAAACCGGTTTGTCTTGCTTTGTTTCATTTGTAGGATATTTCATATGCCAAGCTGTGTGCTATTACGTTATGGGGAAATTTAGATGCCAATTTTTCCTTATTATACACAAATAGAAGATCCTGAAACTTCGACCATAAATGTGGAATTGATTTGTCAAAATAAAAATCACCCTTTTATAAATATGTGACGATCTATAATATACTTATGCTATATAAAAGTTAGAGGTGTTGACACAACGACCTCGAACCTGTGAACCCTTGAGTATTATTCCGGGATCGGGCCTTTTATACTAAACGGTGAGCAACACCAGAAACGAGCGTTCGATTTGCTAAACGATATGCGTCACCCTTTATGAAATAAAAGGTTTATCTTGATTTTTATCTATTTTTGGGGGGTTTTGTTTTACTTTTTTTCTAATTTTGCTTCAATATATTGAAAAGGTAGAGAATTCATAAAACATTGAAATACATTAGACTGAAAGCTTCTGAAATTGACTCTCTATTTAAAATCAGTATCAAGATAAGACATAAAATGATCCATCTTAAGTAGACACATATGTTTGGATAACTAACAGCTTATCAGCTTTATAGTGCTTCATATAACTGTATAATTCTTTTCCAATCTGGAGACAGATTATTTAAGTTATGTAAGTTATGGGTTTGTCTCATTACTGTAGTCTTAACTGTTTTCCTCTAGAAGATAGGTTTCAGGCTGATTCGATGTATAATTCAAAGACAATTTTAAAGAGTTCTTAAAAGTTAAAGTTCTGTTAAGTCTGGATTAAAGTTAAAATTTCTATAATGAAATATGAAGTATAAAATATCTACATTGGAATCACTTATATTTTTAGACATACTATGACCATTGCCGCTTACCATTTTTGACCTATATACCTATCATAAGCGTAGTCAGGAGGTAGGGGCGATGACCAATAAAAATAAGAGCTTTAAAATGCATTTTGTTTGAAGCTTCTAGCTAATAGCAAAAATTTGGCGATCGCGATCCCCCCCCCCCCCCAGTCTGCTGGTTGCGCTAATGTCTTTTATTTCCACATATAGGGTAACTCAGTGAACTTGAATATACAAGTTTAATGTTAAACGTTGCTCTAAAGTTTGTGTTACTGATATCTACCTGGTGTGCTCATGTGGCCAGTATTAGATCAGATAGAGAAAAAAATATAACACCTTCATTATGAACTAGCAGCTCATACCCAAACAGAAGAATAAAAGTCTGTACACATTGATTGATACTGTATGCCAAAAAATAGGTTTTAAAATGCTCATAAATATTACATAACTTAAACATGCAATATACTGGAGTAATACTACTCAGATAACATTTTGGTTATTTTACCTTGATATTTGAAGACAATTGTTAAATACATAAATATTAGATTTACAATTGTACTTTTTTGTTACAATGTTATTCACCTTTCCACAAAGTCAGCTAATGAATATTATAATGAGCTGCTTAGAAATCTGTGACGTCAATGAGAGAAACTTTTTCCCGCGAAAAACAATTGAGTTTACATGTAAATCCTCGTTTGATTGCTGTAAGTTTTACCTCTTCAAATGTGCAAGTAATCAGTAAATTATTGACGGATTTTTATTGAAAGTCAAATTGGCATTTATTTGCGCCTTCTAAGTGATTGAAATATTAAATTTCTGTTCATAATGAGTAAATAATTTGAAGAGAATTACTCCGGTCAGTTTTCAATCAGTGATAGGAACTGGATGTGAACAGGTGAAATTATCATAATCATCAGTTCACTAACATTATAACATGTCTCTCATGCATATAAATATATAGATAGACAATCTATTTTAAGTTAATCTTCAGTTGTCATTTGATGAATCACCTGTTCAAATGAAAAACATTTGCTCTAATTCATTAAATCATTGACTTCACTACTTCAATGATTCAATCAACTAAACGATTACTTCCTATTTATTTCTGCAAGTCATATCAGATCATATCTTGAAAATACCATACTTGAAAACATCGGGATATATAGAGATTATCCTATGTGCATTTATGGCCACCGGGTCCCAACATGCCATGTTCTGCCATGTTGCCAAGTGGTAATATCTACAAGAT